CTCCCCAGTGTGGCAGCACTGGAAGGGGGTGGGGCCTTTAAGAGCGGGGGGCGTGGGGAGGTCCTCAGATCCCCGGGTGTACCATTGAAGGGGATGGTGGCCCCCTGGCCCCCCGGCCCCTTCCCTTCCCATCTCTTCTGCACCCCCTCTGCTCTGCCCTGGGATTCCTCCATGATGCATGGCCTCACTACAGGCCCCCAAAACAGTGGGGCCAACTGCTCGTGGGGCTGGAACCTCCAAAGCTGTGATCAAATCAACCCTTCCTCTTTATAAGCTGCTAACCTCAGGTGCTTTTGTTACCATCACAGAAACCTGCCCGACACCTGCCCTGCCCCTACGTCCCTGGGCATCGCCTCTGCCATACCCCATGAGAAAACCACTCATCAGCCACCACGGAGGCGCCAGACACCCCCATGGGAAGGGCCGGGCACCTCTGCCATTCTCCTGGCCTGCCCACCCCCGGGTGCCTCTCTTGGCAGAGGACGTAGAGCTCCAAGGGCCACCATCTCACCGATGATTCACCCAGAGGCTCCCACAGGAGGCTGGCCTCCCTCTGCACCAGCGGGCCTCCAGCCAGAACAAGCCAGTGTCATTCGCCTTCATTATGCAGGGACACCCAGGACCAGGCACACAGACTTCTCCAGAACCCTATCTGGGCTCCTTCAGGCAGGAGCCAGGCCGGCCTTCAATCCTCTGCCCTCCTAAAGCCGGGCCTTCTCGGACTCACTCCTGAGGCCTCCACAGCTGAAGACCAGCACAGTGCTCCTTCCTGACCTGGGGTTCAGCCACTTCACAATGCCAGGGCGACCATGTCCCCGACCCCGGCACCCCAGGTCTCCTGTGCAGCTTCCCCACTCTCAGCCCACCTGCCCATCCTCCAGGGAAGGGGTGGGCTCATGACCCAGGTACTGCCATCAGAACCTCCCATTCCCCAGATGTCACAGTTGGTTCAGAGATGGGCATGTGACCTTGGGCCGACCAAGGAGACTCTTTACCTAAGAATGAAAGACCGAAGTCTGCACAGAAGTGGAGACAGGAGATGGTGACATGAGGGTAGCTGGCATCCCATGTGTACCTGTTACAAGCCAGCACAAATGACAGGCACCGCCTCAACCCCGCCACCTAATAACAGTCTTAATACCTGCACTACAGATGGAGGAAACAAGGCTCAGAGAGGGCGAGTAACCTGCCTGTGGTCACACAGGGGTGAAGCCACCATTCAGGTGTAGGCACTTGGTTCCAGTAAATGGGGCTGCTCAAGTCAGGAAACTGTGGGAGGCCCAGCTACATCTGAATTCCAGATATGCAATATTTGGGACACACTGACATTTAAAAAGCTATTTAGGCTGTGTGTGTGGTGGCTCTCGCCTGTAATCCCAGCAACTCGGGGGGCTGAGGGGGGAGGATCACAAGTTCAAAGCCAGCCTCAGCAACTTATCAAGGCCCTAAGCAACTTAACGAGAGACCAGTTGGTGCTGGGGTTTCTGTTACTTGTCACCAACAAAATCCACAGTCGTAAATGAAAAGAGGAGTGGACGCCCGTGCCCTGACCGCAGCCAGCAGGCAGAGGAGAGCCCAGGGCTGCAGGGAAGTCGGCCCATACCATGCGGGGCCCACAATGGCCACCCTCTTTGACACTCCCGAAATCACCTGCTGTGCTACTTGAGCCAGTGAGACAAGAGAAGGGACAGACAGAGGGACCAGAGGGGACAGAGCCTGGAAGCCTCTCCAGAGCACAGTGAGCCACCCACGTCTCCTAGAGGTCATCTGATGGAGTACTGGACTATTGCTCACCTCTGCAGTGGCCAGAGGGCCATGCAACAGGGGAAGCTATGACCACGGAGCCAGCGTGGCCAGGAGCGTGGGGACACCTCCTTCACAGGCCTTTACTACTGCCCATGACTACATGCCCATCACAAGATGGCCGAAGGCTGTTAGAAATGGTGTGTGCGGACACCCAGGGCAGCTGTGGCTAGCAGAGGATGGAGCACAGCTCCTTAAAGCCTCTTGATGGCTCTGCTGCGTCTAGGGCTCTGTGGTGGGCCACTCTGCTCTGCGCGCAGGTGCTGGGGTGACAGGGAGAGAGGAGGGGAGGGCGGCAGCTGTGCCTGAAGCTGTTGCCAGACAGAGGCCAGGGGAGGCCAGGCGGAGGCACTGCCCTGGGCCCCACACAGTGAGCGCCCAGCCAGCCAGGGCACTGCTGGGCCCAAGTCCCAGTGGCCTCCTGGAGCCCTCAGAACACGACCCACCACCTGGAGCCGCTCCCCACTCACGTGCCCTGCAGTCCCCACGGGGCCCCTGCCGTCCTCTAGATGAGGTGGTCCCCTCGCAGGCCTCTGCCTGGCTGGTGGCCCTCCAGTCTTCACATGGTGGCATCACACTCTCAGACAGTGGCTCTGGTGTCCCCAGGAGAGGCACGCTAGCTGCACCTCCACAGCCGCGGCCTCCGCGACCTGGCCCCTGTGGGACCCCACACTCAGGTGGGCACATGAGTTAGGACAGAGCTAGTCCCTGGTCCTGCGGAGCCCCCAAGAAAAACCATCCAATTGGGACACAGAAAGTTGTTCCTGAACTGGAAGACACAGAGGGTCAGGCCAGTGTCCTCTGGCCTTGGCAGCTGCGACTGGAGGAGCCTCCCCACTCACCTGCCATGGTCACTGGGCTTCTGTCCTCGCCCTGAGCACAGGCAGCATGCAGGGTGCCCACGGCCCGTCCTGCTGGGGCCAATGTGTGCACAACATTGGCCTCAAGGGTGCATGTGCACAGACAATAGTCACACGTCTACACCCGTGCGCTGCTCACTTGGGTGCATGCACACTCACACTCCCCCAGCCTAGCGTGGCGGAAGCCGACCTGCAAGCTCCTACCTGGCTGTTGAGCCTTGGACACAATCAGGCCTTGCCTCAGCTCTCCAGCCCCTGGTCAGGGGCCCCAGAGGGGAAAGTGCCCTGCCCCTGGGGAGGGGGCTGGAGATGGACATAGAGGCCCTTCCCCCATGGGAGGGACTGTGGCCGTCACCAGTCACCATGCCCGCCCTTCCTTGCCACGGATGGTCGCGGGAGGGCCCGGCACTGTCTGGACAGATGCCTTTCAGACTCCCACGCAGCTGAGCACACTGTGAAATGGCCATGGCCGGAGGACATGAGCAGAGTGGACAAGGCCCCTCCTCCACGCCCCTGTCCCAGTGTGGATGAGACCTTCATACAGAGGACGGTGTAGCCACCAGACCGAAGGGCGACCGCCCCTGGCCTGGCCCCGCAACTCACAAGGCCCTGGAGGAGCATCTGAAGACCTGAGGGAGGGTCCCTTCTGTCCCCCTGCAGCCTGTGACAGAGGCAGATGCACCGGGCCCAAGAGGAGTGGATTTCAGGTCACCTGCAGGTGAGGCAGACAGGAAGCCCACGGGGACCCATCTCCGGCGCTCGGTGCAGTGAGGAGGAAGGGGGCAGGTACCCCAGCTCCTGCCCCGTGAGAGCACCTGCCCAGGCAGGAGGGAGCTGGGCAGGGGAGGAGGGTGCCCATTTGGACCAGGCCAGCTGCCAGAGCTCCCGCCCACCTGGGAGACAGCCCTGGGCAGGCCACCGTGAAGCTGCTCCAGCAGGGCCTGGCGGGAGGGAAGGAGGACGAGGGGCGGGGCAGCCTGCCCATCCCAGCGAGGAGAGGGCAGCCAGCCAGCAGCTGGGGGTCCTCTAGAGTCTTAGCCAAGGCAGCTCCACACCTGTGACCAGTGGCTGTGGTTCCAGCCCATCTGCCACTCACTAATGAAGCTGTCCAGCGGGGCTCAGTCAGCCTGGGCCTCCTGCAGGAAGCAAAGGGCACACTAATTGGGCCTCCTCGGGTGCCATGGATGCAGCAGGTGTCCCTAAGCACCTGGCAGGAGAACAGGGCCTCGTGGATGGTGGCCCCAGCCCTGGCAGGGGCAGCAGGGCCTGAGCTCGGCCTCCCCAGGCAGCTCCACCTTCCCAGCGGCCGCTCCTTGCTCCTCAGCAGCAGGTGGTTAGCAGGGAGCAGCCCCGGAGATGTCCATCCTCACCCCAGACCCTGGGGCATGACGTGGTTTGCAGGATGTGTGTTGGGGGCCTCGTTGGCTCCTCAGCTAGTGGGAAATGGGGACGATACCCTAGGTCACTCCCAGGGCGGTCACAAGGGTCCTGTGGCTGGCCTGGTGCTGGGCCGCTGCACAAGGACAGCTCCGGGGCCACGGCAGCTGCAGGTGGAGGGACAGCCACCGCCCGGCAGTGGTGACCTCTGACTCCCAGACCCACAGCAAGCGGGGGAAGTGGGTCACAATGGCCATGAGAAGCTGACACCGAGGGTGGCGTTCCTGTCGGAGCACCCCATCCCCCCGCAATTGCGGCCAAGAGTCTGAGCTGGCCCCTGAGGCTGCACACACGAGACAGTGATGTCCCAGAGAGCCATCGCTTTGCTGCTGAAAGGATCCAGGAGACAGGCCTTCTGCTCTGCCCAGCCCCCGCGGCTTCTGCCTTCCTGCCGTTGTAGACACAGGGAGGGAGATGGCCGCCCAGTGACCACGTGACCAGACCAAGACAGCATGCACTGGGGACGGCAGGGAGCAGGACATAGGGGGTGACAGGACAGGACCTGGAGCCGTAGGGTGCTGGCCTCACACCAACAGCAGTGCCTGTGGCCAGCTGGCCACTAGCCCATGGCTAAAGCCCAGGGTCTTAAAGGGCTGCCAGGGTTTGGGCTGAGCAGCTCCAGGGCACAGTGGCAGCAGCACCTGACAGCAGAGTTCGTCTGGTGCACAGAGACCCGGCCATGTCCCCAGAGAGGACACAGCAGGCCCGTGACAGCAGAGCCTGGCCTGGAGCACAGAGACCCGGCCATGTCCCCAGAGAAGACATGGGGCCCCTGACAGCAGAGCACAGAGACCCGGCCACGTCCTTAGAAAGGACATGGGGGCCCCAACAGCAGAGCCCAGCCTGGTGCACAGAGACCCGGCCACACCCTCAAAGAGGACACACAGCGGCCCCGACAGGCGTGGTGCACACTGTTATTTATTGCATGAACCCTCCAGTGCTCCCCTGTGTTCTCATGACCTAGAAGAACAGGACTTGAGGAGGCGTCTCCTGTGCTCAGCTCCGCTGACCACAGGGCCAACACCAGGGCTCCTGACATCCGCGGGCATGCTGACCTCAGAGGCACAAGCCACCCGCCCAGCTGCCGAGACCCATGACTCCCTGACAAATGCCAGTGACACGACTTCAACAGTAATGTCCTGAGGACTCTCAGGTGGAGCAAGTGCAAGGAGGCCATTCCCAGAGGCCCAGGCAGCCCTGCTGGCCAGAACCACGGTGACCACACTGCCTGCTGTGCAGCCTAGAGGGCTCGCCAGGGTACCAAGGGTGACAGGGTGCACAGGCAGCACCAAATGGTCCCCATCAGAACCCTAACCAACACAGAATCACCCTAACCACTCAAAGTCCACGGTCCAGGGCCAGGAGGTGCTGTTTGGCCGGGGTGTGACGCGGTGCGTGAGTCCTGGCCTGGGGTCCCAATGGCCAGCTGTGGAAAGACGGTGACAAGCCAGGCAAGTGTCCCTGGTAGGACTAGTGCCCCATGGTGGAGGTGCCCTGAGGAAAGCGGGAGGGCCAGGCGTCGAGGCTTTGGGAAGGGACTGTTTGACCTTCACAGAGGGGAACAGGACATGGGCTCGCAGGCTGGGCTATGCCGCTCCTTGGGTGGGCGCTGCCACCTGGGCCCAGCCAGCACCGCAAGGCCTTCTCGCAGGGTGAGCAAGGCCATGTGCAGACAGCGCTCGGGGACAGGCCACAGTGGGCCAACCTGCCTTCCAGTCCGAAGGTCAGCTCCGTCCTTGCGCACCAGACTGAACTCCGAAGCAGAAACGATGCCCCAGGCCAGGGAGTGCTTGGCCACACGCCCCCCACAGCCGTGGGTGTGTGAGTAGTTTGCTGACCGTGAGCGGCGTGCCCAGGCGGCTCAGAAGCCCTGCAGCTCCGGGATGTTCTGGTACAGGTCCAGGGTCTCGGGGTTGGAGAAGGCCCCGCGGTGCTCCACGGCCTGGCCCGCCAGGATCTGCTTCACGGCCACCTCCACCTTCTTGCCGTTGAGCGTGTACTGCATGGGAGATAGGAGACAGAGCACAGAGGTGAAGCCCAGGCAGGGAGAGCGAGCAGGGCTGCCCGGGACTCAGAAGCCACCCTCACATGCTTCCTGAGCCTCCCAGGCTGCCCCCACCAGCGTCCAGAGATGCCATGAGGCCCAGACTGACTTTCCTAATGCCCGTCACACGATCGGCTCGAAATGTCACACCCCAGCTGGTCCTAAAGTGGGCACACAGTCGCCACTGGGCCCTTTCTCAGAGCACAGGGTGGGAATCCATGGCTCATCCCCGACTCCCAACAGGCACCTGAGCAGGAAGTTTTTAATGAAGATGTGACCTTGCCACCCCACCTGGGAGCCTGTGGCAAATCCCTTCGCCTGAGCTGGCTTCCTCCACCGTGAAGTGAGGGTGACTGTGCCTGCCCCAGGGACCATGAGCAGGGGACACAGGTCACCACAAGATGCTTCAGAGGGCCTGGCTATGGTATTCCATTATGGCTGACTCTTACTTCATTCCACGCCCTCGTCATCCACTGCATTACACTACGAGGCCCGCCCTTGACCTCAGGGGGCACTGCCCTCCAGGGCTGGACCTGCCGGCCTCCCCAAGTTCCAGGAACCTCCCCCAGAGGCACCCAGCCCAGGAGGCTGTGGCCTCTTCTCATGGCCGGGCTCTTCCCGAGTGTACAGGGCTCCCTCTGGGATTGGCAGCCGAGCTCCACCAGGAACCCAGCAGGCTGGGCCACGTGTGCCCGTGGGCAAGACCGCCACAGCCCTTCAGCCCCAGGCCCCATGGCGCCCGAGTTCTACACCAGTTTTTACCCAAGGTGCAGTTAATATTCATGCACTGGAAAGACTCAGCTGATGTGTGACCAGTTAAGGATCTAAGTGCCAGCTTCCCAGGGGCTGCCTGTCACTCCAGCATGTGCCATGGGCCCTCATGGTGCCACCTCCCGGGGGCTGTGCCACACTTCATGTGGGGCTCACGCGCTGGCAACAGCCTCCTCTGGTGGCCAGAAAGAGCCGAGAGCCCTCCTAGCAGCAGGCCAGCACCCAGGTGACCAGGGAGAGGCCCCTGGAACGGGGACACTGGTGGCTACCTGGGGCCCTGCAGCAGGACTCCACGCCCAGGCCCCTCGTCAGGACCAGAGTCTCAAGGCCTTTCTTTAGAGTCAGTGGCCAACCAGCCAAAGACTGGGTTCCCCTCCATCAGACAGGGCCTGCCTCTGAGCTTCCTCATCAGTAAGGGGGACCAAGAAGATAAGCTTGTCCCAGCCACCAGTGTCCCTCCCTCCCTGCCTCCCTCCCTGCCTGCCCTGCTTGCTCAGTCACACTGGCTCAGTCACTAACTCGCTCACTAACACATATACACACACACACTCTCAGTCACTTACACACTCGCTCACTCAAATTCAGGCTCTCTCTCGCTCACCAGCACAGGCCAAGCAGGGAGAAGCCCTGGCCCCCAGCCCCCCAGGCCCTGCGGACAGCGGTGGGTGACGGTGACATGGCAACTCAGAGGGGTAAGGCACGCTGTTGGGATGGGAGGGAGCCAGGGAGGCTGAGTGGGCCACAAGCCACCTCTCTGCTCTTGGAGCCCAGCCACGAGGTGGAGGGGGCAGGTGGCTGACTGGCCCCAGTGACAGTGAGAGCCAAGCCACCAGGCTGACATTCAGGCCCTGAGGCCCCTGTACTGCCAAGCCAGCACTGTCACAGCCCAGCTCAGGGGTGCAGACCAGGCTGGGGGACGCCCATCAGTGGCCCCAAGGCAGGCCTAAGGGAACAGGTAAGCCAGAGCCTAGGGGAGTGCCAGCCAGGACCGTCCCATCCCACGGGGCTCGCAGCTGTCCCTTCTGTCCCAAGCCCTCTCCTCATGCCACAGCCCAGACATGGGGAGGGTCCTGCTCATCTCTCCCGAGCACTCCCAGGGCCCTCAGTTGTTATAGTGGGAGCGGCACTGCTCCAGGGGGCAGACCATGGCCCTCGCCTGGACAAGGCTGGGGAGCCCGGGGCTCCCCATGCAGGGGCCCTCCCACCTCCAGCAAGGCCCAGAACTCAACAGCCAGGAACTCAGCTGGCCTCTCCTGAAAGTGACTCAAGCTTCCAGTGACTGTCCCCTGGCCCAAGGACACTAGGGAGCCCCTCCCTGAGCCCTGGTCAGTCCAGACCATGGCATCTGAGTCAGCCTCACGGTGACCTCATGCTCCATCAAGCAGGGGCAGCTGGTGTGGGCAGCGAGGGGCCAGGACAGCAGGGGACAGAGGCCGGAGGAGGGAGGATGACGAGCTAGGGCTCAGGCGCAGTTTGGGAAGGACCTGGCGAGAAGACATGGCTCTTCAACAAGCCCAAGGGACAGAATGGAGCCCTGGGCCCTGAACCGGCTGGCTGAAGGAGCACTGAGACCTCACGGGGGCAGCAGGGCCACGACCCCAGGCATCCATCTCCCCCCAAGGGGCCGGCGTCTCCACAGACTGTCAGCAAGTCCATAACCAGGGAGAGGACAGAAGCTCCCAGCAGCAGGTTCTCCGCACAGCCACCATGACGAGGCACGAGGACACAAGGAAGGGAGCCCAGCACCACAGACGTGGACGTGGGTCCAGGGGAAGAGGGCAGCCGCTGTCCCCAGTGGGAAGAGGAGGAGCAGCGCCCGCCCCTCCTGCAGAGGTGGCAAAAGGACACCACAGCATCTCTTTAAGGCAGAGACAGTGACCCAGGCTGCTAAGAGGTCCCCAAGTCAGCGTGTGGCAGAGGCCCTGATGTCCCCAAAGCCGTTTCCAGGTGAGCTTGCATCCCACCACAGCCCCCAACACTCGCCAAAACACAGCCCACTGCCCCCAAGGCCACCACCCCCAAGGCCACCGCCCCTCTGAACAAGCAGCACTTCTGTAGTTCATCCCACGGCCACCATCTTGGGGACTCTGTGCGCACAGGTGCCCTGGGGCTTGACCCAGAGGCACCGCTCAGCAATGCAGGAGGTCGCTGTGACCCTCTGAGGGACCTGTCTCCTCCCCTAATCCGAGCAAGGTGGGTGGGTGCAGCTGAGGACCTGCCTCTGCGCAGGGCGGGCGCCCAGAGCTCCCGCAGAGCTGGGCCCAGGTCCTCACCACAGCCTGGCGGCCTCACCCTGGCACACCCGTGTCATCGGGCGGTTCAAGGCCATCCTGGAAGGGAGGGGAGGGGAAGATGGCGCTGCTGGCCCCAGGACCCCGACACAGGCACCAGCTCCGGTGCTGGCCAAGGGACCAGGTTTCCAGGACGAGGCTGGGCACGTACCGGGATGCCCTGGGTCTCCAGGATGAGGCTGGGCACGTGGCGTGCCGACAAGCCCAGGCGGATGGCCTCGCGGACCCGCTTCACCAGCTCGGGCCGGAAGGCATGCCCCGGAGCCATCTTCAGGAAGAGGATCACCCTCTCCTCGCCGTCCCTGTTGTACTGGGGGACACACAGGCTGTCCCCCACCTCCTCGAAGGCTTCCACTGTGGAGACAGAAGGCCCTTCTGTAAGCTGGGGACACCCATCAACTGGGCGGAAGGCAGGGAGGGTGCCCGGCCACCAACCTGGCAGGGAAGCCCACATCCTGTCCTCAGCCCACCTGGGAAAGTGCCCTGGGGATGTTCATAACCAAGTGGGAGGACAGCCACTGCTGGGAGCCAGTGCTCAGCCACGCCTGGACTGGGCAGGGCCTCCAGGAGCCCATGTGGGCCGGGCTTGCCAGTGACAACTACAATTAGGAAGGTCCCTGCGGTGGCTCTATGGGGGAGGCCAGGTGTCTCTACCCTGGCCGTACAGACTGGGCACTGGCCTGAGCACCAGAGGCAACCCCCTCCCAAGAAGGCTGATTTCAGGGCCTGGGTGGGGCTCCAGTCCCTGGGTCAGGCAGCTCAGCGTGCCCCAGGGGACTCCACTGGGCGGTCATGAGACTTGAAGGTTGCACTGACTGCACCTGGTGTCTGCAAGGTGCTGTGTGGCCTTCAGCACTCACACAGCCTCTCTGTGCTTCTGTTCCCTCACCCTTTAAGCCTAGACACCGTCAGCTGGCCGTGAGGAAGGAACGTGACAGGGAAGGGGCCGAGTGACCTACAGCCCTTCTGAGGTCTAGGTCTCGGTTTGGGCCACAGGCAAGAAGCTGTGCTTAAATGTCCATCCTCACACTGGTCAAGCCACAAGGAAGCTGACCAGGAATCGACCCACAGGCACTGCCTAGGACCCAGGCCTGGGTCCTGGGGGGAAGGTAGGGCGGGGCGTACCGATGTTGTAGATCTCCGAGCTGCCGAAGCGCACTCCGTTGGGGTTGAGCGTGCCGTCGCTGGAGAGAGGCAGGGCATGAGAGGAGCCGTGGCCAGCAAGTCCAGGTCCCACCCAGGCACCAGCAGGCCAGTTGGCAAGGGCCTCACCTCCCACAGCCAGCCCTCCGCGTCCCACGGCCCCCCTGGACATCAAGGGGCCCCTGTCCACAGACTTCAGCCCTCACCACCCTTCTCACCTGCAGTGTCCTCCCTACTGGGGACAAGGCCACACACAGCCCCCCTCCAGTGATAGACACTGGCCAGGCCTTGCCCTGGGCCTCTCACCCCACGAATCCCCCACAACCCAAACCCACCGGGTCAGGAACCAGGGTCAGTCCAGTACAGGGAGGTCACAAGATGGGGGACGTCCACCCACGTGACAGCGAGACAAGGGCTGGGACCCTTCCCCAGAAGGGTCTTGGGTCAGAGACAACACGTACCCAGGCTCAGGGTGGGAAGCACAAAGCACCTAGGGCCGGGGAAGGGGTAAGGGAGGGCCCCAGCAGGGCTGCGGAGCACCCCACTCAGGCAGGCATGGTGCCGGAGGGGGGGGCCACCCCTCCCAGGGAAGAGCCTCCTTCCCGGGTCCCCCAGGAGGGTCCTCCCGGGAAGGGAAGCCCACCGGAGCCTCACCTGCGGCCAAGCATGACGATGCCCCCGGTCCTGGGGTTGATTCTGCAGTAGTCACCATGCGCCCAGACACCTGAGAAGAGGCAGAGCCACCGGTCATTCAGGGAATGCAATCAAGGTGGCCTGCCCGGGGCAGATGGGATGCCAGCTGGCGGACACCGCGAGGCCCAAACAGGTGCCACCTGAGGCTGGGGTCAAGAGGGGACCCAGGGAATCAGAAGCTCCTGCCCCAGGAGCAGTCCCATGGCAGGATGGCCACCTACCCAGCTCTGACACGGGGACCTGGGGAGACAGCACCTGGGGACACCAGCAAGGCCACAGAACAAGGAGAGTGAGCCCACACTCAGTGTGCAGGCTCCTCGGGCAGCGGGGCACATGGAGGGCTGAGTATAAGACAAGGCTGGCCTTGGGGAGGGCAGTGGGGGCCAGGCGAGGGCCAGGGCTAGGCTGGGATGACAGCCGTGTGGCCAGGGGAGCCTCCTGCACCAGCACGGAGAGGAACTCCAGCAAACCCGTCCCCTGGGCTTCAGCCTCCGGAAAAGCCCTGGAGCCCCGACCGGGAAGGGAAGCCTCCCAGGGTGGCCGAAGGAGGGCTCCGCCCCCCACTTCCCACTTGACTCAGGGCTGACCTACGGCCCTGAGGACCGTCCTCATGAGCCCTCTGGCTCCTGCAGTGTCAGGACAGCGCCCTCGACAAGCCCCGAAGGGTCTTTGGTGGGGACTCGCCCGATGCCTGACTACAGGGAGCTGGGTCCCCACACCCAGGGCCCTGCGAGGAGGGAGCAGCTCACGGGGGCCATCGGCCTCCCGGGCTGAAGATCCGCACCGGAGCATCAAACATGGGCTTCTAGAAGGTACGACAGAGAAGAGCAGCACCTCAGCTGCAGCAGACCCAGGGGCAGCCCCACCTGCCCTGTCACGTGTGCGTGGCACCAGTCTCCCTGAATCCAGGGGACATTTCTGGCTTCTCTGGGCTGTTTGGTGCCCAGGCCTGATGACCAAGGCTCTGGAAATGCGGAGGAAAAGGAAGGTGCAGGTGCGCCCAGGAGACCTTTTACGAAAATGTCACCAGGAAGCTCGTCGGCCTCCTGCAAAGCCAAGCTGAGTGGAGAGTCCACGGGAGGCCACTGGCCTTGGTGGCCACGCAGGGAGTGGCTGCTGGCATAGGCCCCAGAGCACACTTCCCTCCACAGTACCCGGCCAGACCTTTGGGACCCAAGCTGCAACTCCAGCCCCACGTCTCCTGGAAGCATGGTTTTGTGAAGGGCTGTAGGTGACACCGGAGGCCTCCCAGGGTCTGTCCCTGCCGAGGCCTAAGAGTCCTTCTTAATTCTGCCTCTGACTTATTTTTAAGTGTTTATTATGATTTTTTAAAAATAAGCTAGGGGCTGGGGCTGGGGCTTGGCGGTAGAGTGCTTGCCTAGCACATGCGAGGCCCTGGGATCGACCCTCAGCACCACATAGAAATAAACAAATAAGATAAAGGTATTATTGTGCCCAACTACACCTAAAAAATATTTTTAAATAAGCCATAAGGAGAACAAAAACGGCCTGTGAACCCACTCCTGTGCCCCTCACTCATTGCCCTGGGTCACTCGCCCTCAGTCATATAGAAATTCTTTTTCAGAATTCACACCAAAGGGACACCTGCCCTCTGTCCTAACCCTCAGATTTCCCCGGCCATCCCCTGGTCATCCCCCTGCACACGGCCCGCCTGCATCTGCCCTGACAGGACAGGATGCAGACCTCTGAGCCTGTGCAGGAGGGAGGCTCTCTGTGAAGCTCCCTGTGCTGCAGGAGGCTGTCCACTCTGCCCATGGCCAGCAGCCCCAGGTCCCATTCTGAGTCACTCCTGTCCCCAGGAAGTACTGGGGAGCTTCTGTGACGCCAGGCATCAAGATGGCATTAATCAAAGGGACCAGAAACCCACCCAGGGTAAGAGGAGGACCCAGGGCAGGGCTTCCAGCTCTGAGTTTCCAGAACAAAAATGGACGAATGACACAAAGAATTTGTCTTCTCCAAGAAGGAATATCAGAGTCAAAAGAGCTTTCTTCCTGAACTTAGTCCAGAAAGACATTCATCACACAAATCCCTGCATCTGACAAAAATTATAGAACAAAGCTGGTCTCCAAGGAGCAGCCCTGCAGAGGACGAGGGGGCATCCTTTCCTGGAAGGATCTCGGATCTCCGAGTGGAGTTTCCAACCCTGTGACCTCCCTTCCCACAGCAGGAGTCCCTCCCAGGGCCATGGGAAGGGAAGAGCACATCCCCACTGTTGAGTCTGCAGGACCAGGCGGGCAGCAGGGGAGGCTGGGCCTCACGGGTACGCTGCACCCTGCTTGGGAGGAGCATCCCCCCCAAGCTGGCGCCCAAGGCCAACACACAAGGACGCAGCCACTCCTGTTTAGTCGCCAGCCACGTTCTGACTCGCACACGCGGAGTGTGCAGAATCATGTGAGCCGGGGGCAGGCAGCGTCCAGCGGAGCGACTGCGGCAGGGGCCTGCTGAATTCTGCCTTCTGCAGCGGCCACTCACGGAGAGGGAGGTGGGACCCCCGGAAGAAGAGACTCCCCTGGCCGGAGCAAGAAGCCGGTGACGCCTCCCTATGCTAAGCCCTCTCCCTCCACCTCCAAAGGGCTGGGCGGTGGCGCCAGGGCAAGAGGAGGAAGGAGAACCCAGCCCAGGGGTCCCCACCCTCCCAAGGCCACCTGCAGGCAAACCAGGGGCTTGGCCAGCGCCGGCAAGGGGCTGAGTGCAGGGGCAGGTGGGGCTCGGCTGTGCCCAGGGGAGCCTCCCTTGACACAGGGGAGACAGAACACATCCAGGAACAGCAGCCTGCATGGACACCCGCCCCAGCCTCGGGCTGGGCACAGCACAGGCACAGACCCACCTGGGAACCTGGAGAAGTAGGCCTTGTGGTACTTGCTCCCGTTCTCGTCGTTCCAGAAGTGCGTGGGCTGGCAGGGCAGGGGCTTGGTGCACACCAGCTCTCCGCTCTCCCCCCAGACGGCCTTCCCTAGCAAGGGTAGCGGGAGGTCAGGCCCCGCTCTAAGGCCCTCCTTCCCCAGCTCCTCCAGCCCAGCTCACTCCATGCCTGCAGGGCTCCCAGGAGGCCACACTCGGGTCCACCCCAGCCCCGGCCCCCTCTGCCCCCCTCAAGGGCAGGCTTCACCATTCCCTGGACATGCAGCAGCACCATCACCGCGTGGCCCACAGCACACACAGGGCTCACGCACGCTGGGCTGCGGGAACAGACCTTGCTGCCCAGCCAGGCCACTGGATGCCTCAGCCTGCTCTGCTCTGCCGCCTGCGAGAGAGCCCCCGCGCCCTGGCCCTGGCCCCGCGCCCTGTCCATACCCGTGCTCAGCTCAGCCCCCCCCAGGACAGGCCTGCCTCTGCTCCCGGCCTTGCTGCCCTCACGGGTCACGGCTAGGGCACTCCTGCATGTCATGTCACCTGCTGGTGTTTGCAGGCGTTTCTCGGGGGGTGGCTTCGAGGTCACAGGCACACAGGTGTCCTGTGCCCACCACCACTGGTGGCTTCCAAAGCATGGCCCCACTCCCGCTGCCTGGATTTCTCCCACCCCTGGGCAGCCAGATTCCGAGCTGGGCACAGCGCAAGCTGCAGAGGAGCGCCCTGGGGCACAGGCAGCCAACTGACCAGCCGTTCACCCTGCACCTTCCGCCGTCTACACTCCCCCTCTGCAGGAGGCCCCTGACTCTTCCACCTCCCCAGCTCACGCCACCCCACAATGTCCCCCAGACAGAAGCCGACAGGCATTCTCTGTGGGTGTGGAAGGTCCCTGCCAGGGCACCTCCCTCCTGACCAGGCCCAAGAGAAACTTCAGACAGAAAGGAACAACCCATATGAGAAGTCACTCTGGGACCAGGTGGGAAGGGCTCTCCTCCAGAAAGACCAAGGGTGGTAGGGCCCTGGTGTGGCCAATGCCCCTGCCAATGTTTCCCTGAGCCTCACAGAAACAGGGCTGGTGTAGCCTTCCCATCCACTCAGATAAGGAAAGACAATGCAGCAGTGGCCCAGAGAATTTAAGTCCATGAACTTGTTCAGAGTACACGCCAGGCCCTGGTTGGTGCTGGGGACACTAATAGGCTCTGCTGTTTATAAGCAGTCGTCACTAGACCACAAGCAAAGGCCAGTTCCACACAAGACCGGCAGGAAGAGACCAGCAGAGGCCACCTGGTCCCCTCTGGGCCCTCACTAAGGCCAGGACATCAGCTGGTGAGGCCTCTGTCCCAGAGCTGACCCCACACGGCTCACATTTGTGCTCGGGCCCACCCCTGCTTCTCCAGGGTTAGGACGAGGAGCCACAGGGGTATAAAGCCAGGCCAGGGATGGAGGACACTGCTCTGTGTGGACAGCGGCCATTTGGGGGAACTACCCCCAAGTGAAGGGCATGTCCCTCCCTACACCTGTCCTTCCCCACACCTGTCCCTCCCCACACCTGGCCTTCCCACACATGTCCCCCCCCACACCTGTCCCCTCCCCACACCCGCCCCCCCCACGCCTGTCCCTCCCACACCTAGAGCAGCCAGTGCGCCTCACCTTCCTCGTTCCACGCCTCCACGGCCATAGCCAGGTTCCGGGCCTGCACCTCACCCCTGTGCACGGGGATGGACACGTTCTGGCCCATGAAGCAGGAGATGATGTCAGTGCCACCTGCAGGTGAGGACAGCGGGACTGAGACCAGACGCACAGAGACCCCATTTCTCTGTGTCCCTGAGAACGAAGGACAGCTTCCTGCCAGAGGACACTGAATAGATGCCCTCCATGTCACCCAAAAGTTCAAAACTCGGCGTCAGAAGATGGAAGCCTCTCCATCGTCCCCTGTGCCGCAGCCACCTGGGCAGAGTGGCTGTGCGTGGCTGTCACTGGGGCCAGAGACCTCCTGGCTGCCAGGATGCCAGGGCACTGCCTCAGGCCAGAGAGAGCATGGCTTCCAGGAGGAGCTTGGGACAGAGACCAGGGGACTTGGGGCCGGGAGCAGCACAAGGTCCAAGCCCAGAAGGGTCCCCTCACTGCGGCCCCAGTGCCACAGCAGGCTGTGGCCGGGCACACACGCAACACATGCAGGCTCACACGCATACCACAGAGTGCTCAGTCAGGCCAGGCTGGCCAGGACCCCCAGGATGTCACTCAGTGAGGCAGAGGAGAGCCGGAGGAGCCGCCCAAGCTGTGTTGAGTCTGTGCCACACTTAACCCTGCGGAGCCTGCATCATGCCTGCTGCACACCTGGGAAAGTGTGCGTAATTAGGACAGTTTTTCCGTGATTGCACTCAGTGTCTGTGGGCGGAGGGGGAGATGGCCATCACATAAAATGACTAGGTATCTCCAAGACTCCGAGGGTCTGCCTAGGCCTCCCTCTGTGGGTCTGTGTTACTCCCGGGCAGAGAACCAAACTGACGCCTGCTCCGGGTCTTTGGCACCTCCGTCACTCCCTGGCACGTCCCACAAAATGCAGGGGTCCTGGTCGCATCTGCCACCACCAAGGTCCCACCAGGTTCCAGGCTTCATAGGGACATGAGCACCTCCACCAGATGCAACGTCTGCCTGTGCCCCCTCAGAGGACGGACAAGCAGGATTGCAGGGAGAAAAGAGGCGGGGTTCTGACGACATGGCCACTGGGGAGACCCTCAGAGACGAAGCCACGAGGGGACTGCCCTGCACCCGAGCATCTGTATCAGCGGGGCCAGGGGAGCCAGGCTCCGGGAAGCAGGGGCCACCTGGGACACACATCCAGGAGAACGCGGCAACGGGCCACCAGCAGCTCTGGGGGAACCCGAAACTTCATGGGGAGCGTGGAGGAAACAGGCACAGAGGGTCTGGGCAAGACCAGGGCCTGTACTAGGCCCTCACTGAAGGCCAGAGCCCTGACCCCTGTGTCCCCCTGAGGGGCAGAATCAGGGCAGTACAGCCTGCAAGGACCCCTGGAGACACAGCACGATCCCCATGGAGGCCCGGGGCTCCTGACACCCTTCCTGCTACTCGAAGTAAATTGGCACCTTTTAAATATGTGTCTTAAGGACGTATTTTTTAAAACCACAAGGAAAAAAATCAGAATTGCAAATGTGTAAAAGAATATGAGCTAGGTGCCCTGGCACATGCCCCCCCACGCAGGAAAGATCCCGGGAAGGACCCACTTCCAGAAGGGAGAACGCTGTGGGGACTCCACATCCAGCTGCCCTGGGGACTCTGAATTTTGTAGCGGACACAAAGTATTCTCCAAAGAGCAGCTTCGTGTTAAAAAGAAGGTTGCAATCCACACACAGGGTGCCCCCACGCACACACACACAGGGAACCCCCATGCACACATAAGGAACAGCCTCACCCAGGGGTCCCTCTTAATCTATTTTGACCAATAATCAGTCCTTTTCCACTCAACATGTCTTGACCCCTCTCAACAACAATCAGCGGGATCCTATCCAAATAACCACCTCCATACTGTCACTTCTAGGGGCTGCATAAATTGAGGTCATAAATCGTTCAGGTAAATCCTTTCCAGAGGCGTATAAAGGCAACCTATGTTTTTATCAGTGTCAACAATGTCACAATAACCGTCCTTACACACAATCGAACCTCATTTTCAGATCCTGTATGCACAAAGCACCTACTTGCTAAAATCTATCTTTAACCCCAAAGTCGAGACTCTTGACCTTTGGGTCACTCCCAGACATACGCAGAGCAACCGGAAATGTAAGTGGCCCCAGGCATGCTGGGCAGGTGCTCGAGGCAGCTTGGCCTTCCTGCCTCAACCCTCCTCAGATGGAAGGTAGGGCAAGGCTCCCAGCTCAGAGACCTGCTCCTGGGGAGCCAGGGAAGTCTCTCCACCTGCTGCACCTCACCCTCATCATACACACAGACAACCAGGCTGAGCTATTTGGGGGCTCCGATCACAACTGATGTGAGACGTGCATGCACTCCACCAGGAACAGGGGTTCAGCACCTCAATAAGGAGTGCGTGAGGCCCAGCCCTCCTGCCAGGTGGGATCAGTCCAAAGACGTGGGCTGGTGCAGTCAGCGGGTGACCCAGCAGGCCAGCCTGGTCGTCGGGGCAGAGTCACTGTCCCCACCACCCCATTCCCTGGCTGCACGCCACATCTCCACCCACCACCGAGCCTGGGGAGGAGCTGTACCTGAGATGGAGCCCAGCAGGACACTGCTCTTGATGCACCTGTAGACATACTCGTAGCTCTGGGCCTTCAGCGGGGAGCCCGTGGACAGGATCGTGTGCAGCGTCTGCAGACTGTGGGTTTCCACTGGGGGACAGCCACCAAGAGATTAGATCCAAGCCCAGCACTGGGAGCCCACAGGCGCACACATGGTGGCGGTCCAGGGCGAGGCACACTCACCCGGCTTCAGGTCCTTCTCCTCCAGCACAGACAGCCACTTGGCACCCGTCCCAAGGATGGTGATGCTAGGGGCATGGGAGGGAAAGGAGATATCAGAGGCTCTCCAGGGTCCTATGCATCCCACACATGTCCCCACACCAACACTCTCTGCGCTGGTGACTCATTCCTACAAGTCCACAAGACCAACAGGCAAGGGCCTCCTCTGGATTGCCAATATCCCACCCTCACCTGGGAGAGTCCCCACACTGGGCTCCCTCCAGGCTTGAGGGACGCATCTCCACCTTGACCTCATGGTGCAGGGACAGGCTCCCTCTGTGCACAGCTCAGTGTGGTGGGTCTGGCTCAGCCGCAGGAAGGTGCAGGGCTTGGTCGAGCCCTCTAGCCTGACTCTGCCCTCACTCTGAGGAAGCAGACAGAGCTGCAGATAGCCTTGCTTGGTAAAGCAGGAACCAAAAGCCCCCAGCCTGGCCTTGCCCGCAGTGAGCTGTGTTAGCGTAAAGCTGAGACCACGCTGCTCTCCTCCGTGCCCTGAGCCCCACGGCATCCAGCACTCTGTTGAGGACTTGCCACTGGGGGCTCGGGTCATACTCCACCCCACCTGGCTTCTCTTTTTTTGGGGGGGTGGTTTCCAGGGTTTGAACTCAGGGGCACTCGGCCACTGAGCCACCTCCCCAGCCCTATTTTGTATTTTATTTAGAGACAGGGTCTCACTGAGTAGCTTAGCATTCACTTTTGCTGAGGCTGGCTTTGAACTTGCGATCCTGCCTCAGCCCCCACACCCCAGCCCCTGGGATTACAGGCATGGGCCACCTTGCCCGGCCCCTCCCCGGCTTCTCTTGCAGCACAGTGGCCCTACCAGCAAACCCTACCTTCCCAACTAGAGGCACGCTCCTGGGCCCCGGGAGGCTGGCAGTTCCAAAGCTCCCATCCCCTGCTCCCTGGGAGAGCCTCTGTCCGGTGCAGGCCTGGCTTGCCCACCCGATGCTGCAGACATTGGGATCCTGGGGCTGGCATGGGAGTGGCCGAGCCAACAGCAGGTGGGTCCCCTTGGAGCAGCTCTCCCCGCCTCACCCCAAAAGCAGGAGCCACAGCCAGGCTTTCCTGCTCTACTCTGTCCTCATCAGGCCTTTGGTCACAGCAGTGAAGAGCTCAAGAGCACTCTACTCGCAGGCCTCGGCCCTGTGCCGTGACCTCTGAGGCCCCGCGGACCCCAGGCCCACAGCAGCTGGCCCTCCTGGCTCTCCCTGGCCTCCCTGCGCCAGCCGACTCCAGGAGGTCAAGAACCAGGCCCATCAGGGTTGACACGCAGCACGTCCTACGGCACACGGTGTTGCCACGGCCTCCTCCCTGCGGGGCCTGCCATCCAGGATGCCCCACTGCAGCCATGCCCCCCTCAGACGGCGGCTCCGATGACCTCCCCGCCCCTCGGTACCCGCAGGAGGACAAGGACCTGGAGCGCAGGCTGCCTCTAACCAGAAGGTTCCCCTCGTCAGACATGGAGCAGGCAAATACAGCACCAGTGAAGGAGAAAAGCCACCTTTTAAAAGGAGTGTGTGCCCCCAAATGGACACCCAAGTGTCATGAGTCGGTACGTCTGCAAGCGGAGGCCAAACGGCAACAATCTGCTCTTCAACATGCGACGTTGTTTAAAAACCAGAGAAACTGGGCTGGGGACGTAGCTCAGCGGGCAGAGAGCTTGCCTCGTATGCACAGGCCTGGGTTCAACCCCAGCACCACAGGAAAAACAGAGAAACTGAGACAGCTGAGAGGACTGTGCCTGGCCGCCGCCCCCACCCTTGGCCCTGGCCTAGAGCCAAGCAACACCCGCCTTCCTGACCCTAAGTAGGCGAGCTCTCTGCGGGGTACAGGCCTGTACCCCATCCAGAGGCCCCCGCAGAGGGAAAGGCCAGGCCTGAGCGTCAGGTACAGGCCCCAGGGGAAGGAGGACATGCGCTCAGCAGGAGCGTACCACACAGAGCCAATCCCCGGGCTGCCAACACACACCTGCACACCCATGCACATGCACACCCACGTGCTCACACGTGACTCCTCACTCACACGCATACACACACGAATACACCATCACACATGTCCCTCACACATGCGTGTGCGCACACGGAGCAGGGTTGGCTGCCGGACCTCTGTCCCTCAGCCGTGTTGGCTCTAAGCCTGTGACCACATGTCGCTGTCCGCCCCCTTCTGACCCCCAACCCACACCTGCACCAAAAAACCAGAGTCTCCGGGCAGAGCCTGGCTAGAGGTAGTACGGCGGGAGTGAGGGCCACTCTGATTCCCAGGGATCTGATGGACCTGGCACAGCAAACACCCTCCTTAGGAAGTGACCTCCCCACCAGCACCGAAAGGCAGACGCCCGGGTTCATACGGCACCACCAGGCAGGCCAGGCTGCACGGAGAGCACTGACCGCGGGGATTTAAAAGGATTAGTGGCTCCTGTTTCCACCACAAGACGTGGTCAGGGGTTCAGAGCGTGGACACTTTGGCTCCTGGAGCTCGGCGGCCTCCTGTTTTTACTGCCAGAGATACTGTCATTAGGCGAGTGATAAGAACGTGTCACCACTAATTCCTTAGCCCAGGCCGGTGGCGCTGAGCCTTGAGACTGTTTCTAATGCTGGGTGGGGGCTGCTCAGGTCCTCCCCACGCTCTTGACCCCAGGACCCTGGTGACTCCGATGCTTCCTCCTGCAGTGCCTTGCATGTTGGGGGTCCTGTGTCCCATCAAGGGAAGAGAAGTTAACAGGGCCACAGAGAGGGCCACACCGTCCAGATGCCATAAACACCTTTGTACCAATGTTATAATGTTCAGGGAAGATGCCAAGAGAACACCGCCACAGCCCTCAGGGACACCCTGGGTTTGCTCCCTGGCACTGCACCAAAACAGATGGCCAAAAAGGTCCCATGTGGGTCAGGCACTGTGGCGACCACCTGTAATCCCAGCAGCTCCGGAGGCTGAGGCAGAAGGATTACAAGCTCAAAGCCAGCCTCAGCAACTCTATGAGGCCCTGAGCAACTCAGGAGACCCTGTCCCTGAATAACAATCAAAAACGGCTGGGGCGGGCTGCGTGGCTGGGCACCTTGGGTTCAGTCCCAGGTACCAAAACCAAAACCCACAGCTTCTCCAGGAGCCGCCGAGCTCACTCCTGGCCCTGAGAGGCGCCTCTCACCCTGCCGGGGAGTGTGGACCCAGCAGTGGACCAGCCCAGCCCGCCCTCTTGCTGCTCCTGGACCCCCCAGCACTGGGCAGGGATGTCCAGGGTAGCAGTGCACTCCAGAGATAGCAGCCTGCAAGGGGACACATGGCTGCAGCTGCGTATATTCCAAAGCACCTTCCGAGGACACCAGCGCTATCCCACGGCTGAGCAGGACATCAGGTACCTACCCTATCCTGTCCACAAGGTCCCACAGCACGTTGGGCGTCGGGACCATGGGGGAGCCATCGTACAAGACCACAGATGCCCCTGTGGCCAGAGCGGACACCATCCAGTTCCACATCATCCAGCCGACCTGCAACACAAGCACCAGCTTCAGACGGGCGCCACCAGCTTCCCGCGAGCCCAAGAGCACCACCAGGCCCAGAGCCCAGGATGGGCTGCAGTTGCCCGCCTCAGACGCACCAGCCTCAGCCACAGGCTGAGTGCAGAGGCAGCTGCACGTGAGCGGAGACGTGGCAGAGGAGATCTGTGAGCCCTCACTGGGGTGAGACTGAGCAAGCCCAGCACCCGCCAACACAGGACAGCCACAGGACACATGCACTCCACTGCTCTCAGTGAAACCCCAGGACGCTCAGCACCCACCTCGCAAGCACTCAGAGTCAGCCCCATGTGGCCACGGAGAAGTGACCCAATGGGTGGGGGACACATGGCAAGACGCTGTGAGGTGGAAAACAAGCACGGCACAGAGGCACAGCCGTGAGCAGATAGGGCGGACATGCACACGCACCCACACACAGACACAGACACAGACACGTATACATATGCACACGCATACAAAAGCACACATGCACACATGCCCACAGATACACACATGTGCACCTGCGTGGACATGTGCATGCACATGAGAACATATACACACATATGTGTGTGCACATGGACATGCATATGCATGCACACATGAGCACACATGCACACGCACATGCTCATACGCACACAAGCACACATGAGCACACATGCATACACACATGCACACACATGAGGACACATGCACACACACACACATGCATAGGCCTGCCCCAGAGAAGCAGTACCAGGATGGCAGGCGCCGCACCCAGGCCCTGGAGAATAACCCCCTCCACTGTGTCCTTCTGATGTGGCTTGAAATCTTCACCATATGTGAGGAGATTGGATTTTTTTTTATTTTAATTCTTTTTTTAATTTAAAAAAGAATTTTAAACTCCAAAAATGTGCCCACAGGCCCGCCCACCAGGCTCCCACCTACAGAGCCTCGGGGCCATCTGGAGCACAGACATGACAACGGAGCAGGGACGCTCAGTAGGGGCCTCGGCCTGGAGGGCAGGAGAGTGCAGCTACTCGCCCACGTGGGCAAGGACAAGGGGTCGTGCCCCACCCGGGAGGACTCAGCACAAGTCGTGGGGGCCCTGGCGTCCCCCAGCACCTGGGTTCACTCTCCGTGGTGGGGACGGGAGGCAGGAGGAAGCTCCTGAGTGGCTCCCTGTGTGGGGTGGTGTGAGGCCCGAGTCAGACGGGCAGGTACCACAGGACTCAGCAAGCCATGGCCAGGCCTGTGACTGGAACCCTCCTGCTGGCCACCTCAGCCACTCTGGCCTCCACCTGTGTGGGCCACAGTGAAGAGCCTCACGAAGCCCTGAGGATGGCCCTCTGCGACGTGAGTGGCCCTCACTGGTAGAGCCGCCACTTAGCCAGTCTGCTTAGACAGGTGTCCACCCACTGGCCGAGGCTCTCCTAGCGAGGAATCAGCCCTGACAAGGAGGCAGAGGCTGGAGGCCCAGCAGCCCAGCCCTCCCGGTACAGCACTGTCCAGCAAGGCCATTAAAGTGAGGTCCATGAGTGACAGAGAACGGGCCTGGCCAGGGCTGGGGATGCTCACAACCACACCTGAGGCTGCTGTTGAAACCAACTTGGCAGAATGGGGCGGCCAGCCTGGGGCAGGATGTTTCCAGAAAGCACGACACCCTGGAGGCGGCCCCAACAGGGCTCTTCCCGAGGTGCTCTCCTCAGCCCGGAACCCGCCTCCGTGGGGGGCAGCAGGGACTCGTTCCTGGAGCTGCAGGGGACCCGCCATGAGGGTGCCAGACCAGGACATGGCAGAACATGGGCCTGGATCCCGGGGTGCCAAGGCCTGCGTGCCACGTGCTGGGCACAGGGAGGAGACAATCTTGCTGCTAAAAGATATCTGAGTCTTTTGGCCCAAGCCCCTCATTCATAGCCGGGCACAGAAACCCAGGTACCCTGCCTACGGTGGTCCCCGGGCATGTCCTGGTCCTGCTCCTGTGTCTGCAAGGGGTCCAGATGGCCTGTCACAGAGGGAACAGCCTGGGCAGGGCAGGCACCTGCCTCCAGCACCCGCTTCCTAAAAACGCAGCAGTCATGCCATCCAGGAAACACCGCTAGATTATTCCGGAACCTCTTGATACTGGCATTCTTGGAAAAGGCCAACCCCAAGTTCTCCTTCGGGGTTGGACACATCCCTTTGACCCACCCGAGCCTGTGCCTTGTGCCCAGCAAGGACAGCAAGCCCTCCACTCCTGCAAGCAGGGCCGCCACCCACCCATGTGCATGCCTGGTGGCAGGGCCATGTTCGTCTGCTATCCCACAGCACAGCACAGCACCCAGGATGACCTCAGGCGGACGTGAGGGGCTCACCGTGGTGTAGTACAGAAGGACGTCACTGCAGCGCATGTCCCCATGCAGAATGTGCTCCTTCAGGTGCTGGATGAGCGTGCCCTGCGGAGGGAGGATGCCCAGGTGAGCGGCAGCCCCACACCCAGGAAGGAGCTGGAGCGTCTCCACCTGGCCTTGATGAGCCACCTCCAGGGTCACTCTGCCACCTGCCACCTGAGCGGTGCTCATGCCTGACGGGAAACCATGATGCACCCCAGCTGCCTGCGAGCTCTTGGTGCCAGCTCCATCAGAGGCACCGTGGGGACCTGGAACATCAGGACAGGAGCGAACCTTGCTGAGAGGGACAAAGTGACAGGGCAGACAGTACATGCCTGTTCACGGAACCAGCCGCCATGCCCTCCACAGGCTCCCCCCGCAGAGGACAGAACAGGCACGATGGAGAGCAAGACGGACTCCTGCTCATCAGCAGGCCGAGCTCAAGGACGCAGGGTCCCAGGGACGGCTGGAGACCCTGTTGCCAACAGACACGGAGGGACACCCTCGCCCTCCTCCACGCACCTCCAGTGCTGACAGGGTCCCACTCCAAGGCTGCACACCCAGAAGGCCAGGCACACCCTAGCCCACCAGCACCTGAGCTGCACCCGGGTTCCACCACAACACCACCCTGTGTTCCTGTCTCACTGAGAGGTACTGCAGGCCACACGGCTCTCCCTGAAGGGCTCTCGGGGAGAAAGGAAGCTTCCTGTCACTGAGCATGAGCCACACAGCACAGTGGGCCTATCCCAGAGGAGAACCTGAGGACAGGTGGGGACCCTGCCCTCAATGCCCCTGCAGGGGGAGCTCGTACAAAGGCGGGTCACCATCCTTCAGAGCATGCACGAGCGCTGGACCCACATGTTAGGAACCAGCCTTTGCCACCAGCCAAAGCCCAGAGTGGCCAAGAGGCCAAGGGTCAAGCCTCGCCCAGCAGGGCTCTGATTCCAGACTCCACGGCCCCTGAGCGGCGCCATCAACCAGGGTGACTGAGACTGCCTGAGCCTGCAGGTGCACACAGGGCCACACAGAACCTGCTGGAGGGACAGGGCTCTATTCCTGGTCCCCGGCTGCAGGCTTCATTGTACTGCAGGACGGGACACAGGGGCTGCCAGTGGCAGGAAAGCCCTGGGGAGGAGAGACTGCAGGGACACACCGGTGAACACTGAAGCCTCTCGATCCACCCACTCAGGGACAAGGGCCCCCGGCTGGACGCCTGCAGAGCCCACCGCTTCCCTCCCGCTTCCGCTCAGTGTGGGACGGCGGCTGCGAGACCCTGTCACCCACCTTCCTGTACTTGTCCCTCACCTCAGCACCTCGGAGGGCAGAAGCAAGAGGCTTTCCTCTCTCAGAATTTCTCTGTGAGTCGTGGAAAGTATGCTGGGGGTTAGGGCTATATGAAGCCTCCCCTAAGGACAGGACGTGTAGGCAGAGGAGTTTGGTGGTCTTGAGCAATTGGGGACAGTGCTGGGACAGACTCAGGGCCTCAAGCGCTCCACCACTGAGCCATATCCCACCCTGAGCAACTTCCTGTACTTTTTTTTTTTTTGGTACCAGGATTGAACTCTGAGGCACTCGACCTCTGAGCCACACCCTCAGCCCTATTTTTTATATTTTATTTAGAGACAGGGTCTCACTGAGTTGCTTAGGACCTGGGAGGAGCGGCCCTGGGGAGGAGGGTCTTGGGGATGAGCAGCCCTGGAGAGGAGCAGCCCTAGGGGAGGAGTGGCCCTGGGGAGGACAGGCCCTGGGGGAAGAGCAGCCCTGGGGAGGAGGGTCCTGGGGAGGAGCAGCCCTGGGGAGGCGGATCTTGGGGAGGAGCAGCCCTGGGGAGGCGGATCTTGGGGAGGAGCAGCCCTGAGGAAGGAGCAGTTCTGGGGGAGAACAGGCCCTGGGGAGGAGCTGCCCTGGGGAGGAGTGGCCCTGGGGAGGAGGGTCCTGGGGAGGAGCGGCCCTGGGAGGAGCGGCCCTGGGAGGAGCGGCCCTGGGGAGGAGCGGCCCTGGGGAGGAGTGGCGCTGGGGAGGACAGACCCTAAGGATGACAGGCCCTGGTGGAGGAGCAGCCCTGGGGAGGAGCGGCCCTGGGGAGGCCCAGGAGCCAGCAGGACTGTGTGGAGTGATTGTTAGGAAAGCACCAGACTCATCCTGGAGTCACCTCTGAAGTGACCAAGTTAAATGACAATGACAGGACAGAATGGCACTGCATATCCCCCAGAGAAGATGCTTAGAAAGCGACACAGCGTCAGGGCCCTAGAGCCCTGCCCAGAGCCATATCCCCCGGATCTGACACGAGGAAACGTCACACAGGCCCAGAGATCCAAGCCACACCAAGTCCTGGACTTCAAACGTCAAGGTCAGGAAAGACCAGGGACGGCGAGGAGCTGCTCCAGATGGAGGGCCCTGGGGAGACTGGACAGCGCGACCCAGTGCTGTGGGGGCTGCACGCTGGAGGGCAGCCGGCGGCCACTCTGGTGTTCAGGAGCTGATCCTGGACCACAGCACTGAGAGCACTCGCTTCTAGGAGATGAGATGGAGGTCAAGGAAGAGGCCCTCACAGCTCCAGCCTACCTCAAATGGATCAGCAAAAAACGAGACAGAAATGCGTAGGTGCCCAGAGAGAAATGAAGCAAAGGAGGCTATAAGAAATGTCACAGCCGGACACGATGACACCCGCCTGCAATCCCAGCAGCTGGGGAGGCTGAGGCAGGAGGATCACGAGTTCAAAGCAGCCTCAGCAAAAGTGAGGCCCTGAGCAGCTCAGTGAGACCCTGTCTCTAGTAAAATATAAAAAAGGGCTGGGGACGTGGCTCAGTAGTACCAAAAAAAACAAACAGAAAACGTCACAACTGGATGCTGGAAATGTTAGGAGCCCAGGACCGAGGCCTGGGCCTGGCAAAAGGCAAGGAACTCCTCACTCTACGGCTTTTCTAGAGGTTTTCTACAGGTCCTGTGGGCATTTTTTTAATATTTAATTTTTAGTTATAGGTGGACACAATATCTTTATTTTACCTCTATGTGGTGCTGAGGATGGAACCCAGCACCCCACACATGCTAAACGAGCATTACCTCTGAGCCACAACCCCAGCCCAAGGCATTTTACTTTTAAAAGAAGAAAGGACAGCGGGCATGGTGGCCCACACCTCTAATCCCAGTGGCTCAGGAGGCTTAGGCAGGAGGATCACGAGTTCAAAGCCAGCCTCTGCAACTTAGCAAGGCTCTAAGCAACTCAGTGAGACCCTGTCTCTAATCAAACACAGGGCTGGGGACGCAGCTCTGTGGTTAAGTGCCCAAGTTCAATCCCCAGCACCAAAAAGAAGAAAGGCTAGGGGCGGCTGATCTATGACCAGACCATCAGCAGCCATGTATCTCATGTGTCCTTGAAGGACGCTGGACTTCTGGGAAACGCGATGCGAGAGGCTTGCCTCAGGCTGACCCGCTCCCCCCTCCCCCAGCCTCAGATGTGGAAGCCCCAGCCCAACCTCCACAGAGGTGTTCACAGAGGCGATAAGGCCAGGAGAAGGCCCTTAGGTGACCCTGACCCAGTCCAAGGAGACCCACAGACCTGGTGCCTGTGGAAACCTGTCCCCAGAGTCATGCGTTAACAGCATTTGGAGGTGGAACCCTTGGGAAGTGACAGGTGGGAAAGGTCACGCAGGTGGGGCCCCATGTCGGCAGCAGGGGTAGAAGAAGGACGCTGAGCGAGCTGCTCCATCTTAGGTGCGGTGCTCTGTGCCACACGGAGACCTGTGGAAGTCCCCAGCTGGGCCGACTGGGCCCCTCCACCTGGCTCTGTGAGCTGAGCAAACATGGATTCTCCCTAAATATGCCGTCAGTAGCGTCTGGCTTAGCAACAGAAACAAACCAAGGCAGGGGCGTCGCGTGCCAGGCTGGGGCGGTACAGGGAGAAGCGGGCCCCCACAAGCCAGGGACAGGGGCTGGGGAGGCCGGTCCACAACCCAGGTCTCGGAACCCAGCCTCCACAGTGGGAAAGCAGGCTCCCTCGTTAGCCTCCATCCAGGGCAGCAGGGGGCCTCCCTAGGTTAACCCCAGCTTAGGACGTCACCCCGTGGCCTTCAGGTGTCTGCCCAGGGCTCACAGTCAGAGAGGGTTCCACCACATCCCCAGCAGTGCACCAACCCACACCACGCAAGGACAGTCCCGTGGACACCACCGTAACTCCCAACCTGATGTGTGGCATTTCTGCTCTCAACTGGTCTGGATCCTAGACCACTGCAGGACCCCACCCCGGACCTTAGTCCCCTCAGGGCCACAGCCTGCAGCTGGAAGTTACCGTCTCACAGTGACCTCCATACCTGTCCTCATTGTGGCAAGTGCCACAATGTCCCCTGACACTGCAGGCCTCTCACCTAGCCCAGTTCCAGACTCCCCAAGGAGCAGCACTCGGGGTCCCCGGGAGGGCGATGAGGACTTGATGCCCACCGCGCTGCCAGCTGGGAGCCCGCGGTATGAGCCCTGCTGGGACACCTACCCCTGCCGAGTGTACCATGCACTTGGGTGCCCCGGTCGTGCCCGAGGAGAACATGATGAACAGTGGGTGGCTGAAGGGCAGCTGCTCGAACTCCAGCTGGGGGGCGTGCTCGCCGGGCCCGCTCGCCAGAAAGTCCTCCAGGAACACGCTGCGGGCAAGAGAGCGAAACAGTGACCGTTCCAGATGCCAGACCTGACCCGCCCACCCTGCCACACACAGCACCAGCCTCTAGCACGAGGAAGGTGTGCGTCCCCTGGGACACCGGCCTGGCGTGGACGCTTTAGGGTACAGGGAGGTCCCATCTCAGGAACTCAAGCTGACTACAGGGACAGATTGCAGGGTGAAGATCTCGAGTGGGCTCCTTAGCACTGCTGCCGGGCCAAGGGCTGGCTCCGTGGAGACTCTCAGGCCCTCACAAGCACTGCAGAGAGCACCACCCGCAACTAACACCCTGTTTGTGCAAACGCTGCTGACGCGGCTTGGAATCCGTGTCGCGGCCCGTTCCCATTGTTGGCTCTTAGTCCCCTTGACCATCACACTCTGCTTCCACTGACCACCCTACGGAAGCACAGGCCACCTGCCTCTGAACCAAGGCCCCACGGGGAGGAGAAACTGGAATAGGGGCCAACCACAGCACCAGTGACGACAATGTGGCCAGGCTCCGTCACTGTGTCCTGAGGCCCACGGCGTGAGATACAAACACGTGTCCAAGAATAAATGGGATTCACCCAAGCTCCTGACCAGCAGAGGAAGCCTGCCCAGCCTCACCCCACGCTGACAGAGAGCACTGATGTGGGTGGCCAAGAGCCACCAAAGGCACGACCCAGACCTGTCTGCTGGGATAGAAAGAGCGGCAGGATTCCCAAAGCCACCTCGAGAGGGGATTTCTATTTTAAGACCAGCAGAGACATGGGTCCTGTGAACTTGGCCCTATACATTTTTGCCAAGTGGAACTTTCTCCCTTCCAAGGAAGGGAGTGGGAGTCGGTCACTCTCAGCCAGCAGTAGTCACCAGGGAGAATGATCCAGACGGGGAACACCCTCCCTGTGAGCGGAATGATGTCCTTAGGGAGAAGGCTCCGGGGACAAGGTGTTTCAGGAAGGGCATCCAAGACGCTTCGCTCGGAGCCCTCAGCACACATAGCCGCAAGCACTGGGCGCGGGGAAGGAGGCCATCCCCGGCGCCTCCCTGTGCAGCCCATTTATATAAAACACCTCAAATATAAACTGCTCACGCTGCATCACACAGAGAAGAGACTTTCCTTTAAAAAGGTCCATAAATCACAGTAAATAGCCGTTACTTTTGTTGCTCTTCTGAAGATGCAAAGCCCAGAGGTGGCCCTATCCCTGCTCCCTGTGAGGGGCAGCACGTGTCCTGGGTTCTCTGTGGACCTGGCAACCAGGACATGGGTAGTGCGGAGCCCGCTGCTGGGGCCTCAGGAGGGCAGAGCTCCCCACTGCACAAGCTGAATGGCAGCAGGTGTTCCCACTGTCCCCCATCACAGGGCAGGTGCTCCCACTGTCCCCCCGCCAAGGGGAAACACACTCAGGGGAAGAGAAACCGGCCACCGCAGGGCTGGAGGCCCAGCTGGTTTTCCTCCTCCTCGCCGCCATGTCCAGCTCCGTCAGGCAAACCTGGGGGCCAGGCCTGAGGCTGCAGGAAAGAAGACCAGGGCTCCACCTGAGGTCAGCAGAGGACCCACAGGCCCGCCTGTGAAGGACACACTCCAGTGACAGAGCCTGTGCAGCCGGGCGGTGACAGACACGGCTATTGAGCACTGACTACTCACTTGGCTCAGCACTCACTTCTCTGACCCTCACACCAGCCCCCGAGGAAGGTGGGGTCCCCATTTTACAGATGGAGAAACCAGGGCACAGAGAGGTTGATCACTGGCATAGGGTCACCCAGCTGAGACCCAAATCCAAGAAGTCTGGCACTAGAGGCCACAGCCTCCCAAAGCCACCACTCTGCTTGCAGCACTAGGAGGCCACACTTCAAGGCCAGTCGGACGCCACCTCTGGACCCAACAGAACAGCCACACCCCAGTCTCAACTCCCAGGCCCTTCCACTGCCACCCACGTGATGGGCACGCTGTAAGGACATGTGCCTTACACCGCTCAGCGCCCAGGAGCCCCCACACAAAACCAGCGAGCCAGACGTCACCTACTGTCTGCCTAAATAGGGCCTCTGCCACCCTGGCACTCCTTGGTGGCAGACCCAGGGACTCCTGCCATCTCTGAAAAACCCCTCCCCACAGCTCGAGGGGCCCCTTGTGGATCCTGCAGCCACCAGGCTAGAACCTAATAGGAAGGGTGCCTGAGGATCACCCCAACCCCCAGCCTCGCCCACAGCTGTTTCCAGAGATCCAGGGAGAACCCCGAGGACTGGGCAGTCCCAGCCGACCCAGGCTGCGCCTGCTTCACCTCTGTTCCACTCCAAGGTGCCCACAGTTCCACCTAGCACTCGAGACGTGCGGCTTACCAGCTTGTAAGTGTCAAAAAAGCCAAGGAGGGCATCACCGGCCTCAGGCACCCAGCTGACACACGTACCCACACACACAGAGGCGGCACCCACATGCTCATGCATGTGTGCACGTCAGTCCCAAGGAAAAGCCATGTGGCCCGCCCAGGGACCTGGACACCTCCGCCCAAGCCCGCCACAGCAAAGGGACACAAGCAGACCTGTGAGGGAGGACTCCTGGGACCCTCTGTTCTGCCCCCCATTTACCATGTGGCCTTGGGGGATTTGCTCTGGGGACTTAAGGGCCCATCTATGAAGCAAGCGCTTTCACCAAAACCTCCATCTCTGAACCACCAGGGTGAGTAGGAAGCCCAGGGGCACCTCCCAGGGCACTGGGGCCATGCAGGCCTGCGAAGTGGGCACCTGGGGGTGGGCGCTGGCTCCTTACCTATTGGGAATCCGGGAAATGTCGATCTGCTCCCGAGGCGAGATGTAAGGGATCACCACCACCTTTCTCAGGTCAGGCAACCCTGGAGGGAGAGGCGAGAACACGTCACACCAGGAGCCACCCAGGGAGGCGGGGTGGCGGCAGGACTCCTGAGGGCCTCAGTTCTGTGCAGACAGAGTCCAGGAGGCTCCAATCTGCTCACACCGCTCTGGGGGGACCAGAGGGGACTGGGAGGGGCTGCACCTTTAACCACCCGCTGTAGCTTCTCCAGGTGGCTGTGCTCCTTGCCATTGTAGATCACGGCCTCCACCGAGAAGATGAGCTTCGGCTGAATTTGAGAAAACCGGTCCAGGACGCCCTGTGAGTGGGAGGACAGTCCTCACTGAGCATCCAGAAGGCAAGGGCCAGCAGGCGCTGCATTCAGGAGAGAAGGGCCACTCCTCAGGCTGAGTGACCTTGGACAGGAGTCCTGCCCCCACTCCCTCCAGCACCTGGGGCTCCTGTGCCTAGAACCCTGGCTGTGCCAGGACCCTGGGATGGGGGTCCCCCTCAGCTTGGAGGCAAACCACGGCAGCAAAATGCCTGGCGTTGTTGAGAGCTCGCGCCTGTAGGCAGCAAGCTCCACAGAGAGGACCCGCTCCCAGAGCCCAGGAGAGGGACGTCACAGGCTCCGCCCCCGAGCGGGAAGGATGTGCAGGGCACAACCGCCCAAGGAGCCTGGGTGCCGGGCCTGACCTGGATGCCAGGCCTGACCCGGGTGCTGCCCACCTGGTGCCCATGTCACCCACGCCACCCAGATGGCTGCAGAGGTTCCTCTGCCGTGAGGCAGGTGGCGGGTGGCCCAGGTGAGGGAAGGGCCAGGCCTGCGAGAAGCCTGAGGCCTGGGAGGCTCAAAGGAACCAGACTGGGAGAGCCTGGAAGCCCAGTGTCTGGGAACCATCCTGGTCAGGCCACAGGGAGGGCCCAGGTGGGCCAGTGGCCTGGGGCTCAAATGCCAAAGAGAAAACTCTCAGTCACAATGACAGTGACAGTGACTAGAAACCAGTAAGTGCTTCAGAACCAGAGTCCAACACCACGGCTCGAAGCCCCAGGCACAGCGGGGGGCACCCGTCTGGATCTCTGGTGTCCACAGGGGCTGCTGGGACCCTGCGTGTTGCCAGGAAACCCACACCTGTGATGATGGTGGTTCTGACCGACTGTGGTGCTCAGCGGCCCACCAAGCACCAGAACAGAATCCCAAGGAGCAGCCACCACACAGGAAGGTGGCCTTCCCATCAACGCTCGCAACACACACAGCCCCGGATGCTCAGGAGGGCGGGCCCCTGGCACACATGTGGACATTAGACAACACACCAGCTCAAGGTGACAGAGAGAAAAGCCCAGAGGAGTGGAGACTTCAGGAACCGAGGTCTGGATGAGGCTAGGGGAGGGGCGCCCAGGAGCACAGCACCCACAGGGCCACATCGTCCAGCCCAGGGGCACGGCTACACGGGCCAGGGCACCCGGCAGCCATAAGTAGGGCAGGGAGGGAACCGGGGCTGTGGTGAGAAGGTGGACAGGGTCAGGACAGAGTGACACAAGGGGTATCGCTGTGGAAAGAGAGGTGTCCTGGCCCACACCTGTGCCACAGCCTCGAAAGGCCCCTTCGCCACCCAGCCCAGCCTGGTGAGGGGCAGTGGCTACCCTCCTTGGGCCCTTCCCTCCCCCACCAGCAGAGGCCCCCGTGCTGCCTGTGAAATGCCCTCTGAGAATCCCCACGGCCACCAGCTGCACTCAGAGATGCCTCGTCGACAGGCCTAGCGGGGTGCACAGCAGAAAGCCTGCTCCAGGCAGGAAGCGTGATGCTCTCTGCAGTGCCAGGAGCGTGCCCTCTGCTGAGAGGGTGTCCAGGTGAAGCTCTGAGGACACCGGAAGGTGGAGGCGGGGTCCTCTCTCCCAGAGATGTGTGAATGGGGGCAGGGTCAGCCATGCGCCCTGGGCTCTCTGCCTCCGCAGGCTCCAGCCCCGTCACCAACTCCTATAGGGCTGAGACCTGAACAAGGACCCTCTGCGCCTCGGGTCACAGCTGCAGGCTCCTGCAGCGTGAGGGAGTGGGCACCATACAGGTGCCAGCAGCCAGGACTGCAGCCAGCCAGGCTGCCGAAGGCCCCGGGGCACAGGGAATGTCACAAGGACCTCCAACCTGAGGAACACAAGATGGAGTGGTGACTCTACACCACAAAGACCAGCAAAATGAGACCCATTCCCAGAATTTAGCAGGAAGGCCTTCCCGCCTGTCCCTCCCTGACCCCAAACAGCCTGGCCATCTCAGAGGAGAGCTGCTGCCACCTAGTGCCAATATCAGCAAGAGCATGCCCCGTGCCCACGCAGCCCAGGGAAAGGTGCCCCAGGGAAGGGAGCCCCTGGGAAGGCACTTAGAGCCCTCACTGACACCGCTCCTCCTGAGACAGGCAGAACCTGCTGGAGCCACCAGGGACTTCAGGTGACATCCACACAGCACAAGGGCCCTGAGGGAGGGCACGGTGAGACGCTGTGGGCCACATGCCTTTCCCCACCCTCCCCACTCCATCCCCCCCATCGCCCACCAGGGCTGATTCCAGGGACTCTGTGCCAGGTCCCCAGTCAGGCTGGACTTCAGCCCCGAGCTGGGACAGGAACCACGAGGGTCAGAGCTGCCACCGACTCAAGCTGCACCCATGTCCCAGACCTCGTCCTCTCAGTGACCTTGTCCATCCAGGGACTGGAGCTCGGGCCCCAGGCATGCAGCCGGCCTGCCTGTGCCCACCAGGCCCTCGGCCTCCTCGTCCTCCTGGCCCTTCCCTTCACTGCCCACGGTCACTTGAGACCTGAGGGATCCGAGAGCATCAGTGCCGAGGCCCACCTGCAACCCTCCTCCCAGGACCCTACTGGCCCCGAGCAGCTCGCACAGCCCGGCACAGGGCCCGCAGAGGCCATCACTGGGGCGTGGGTCTTTGGCCAGTTCTTGCTGACCCTGGACAGTCCTGGTGTGAGGTCATGTGGAAAAGGGCCCAGGAAGCTGCAGGACGTACACCGCATCTGGCCCCAAGTAGGCCTCCACCTCGGACCCAGCTCCCGGGCCCTAGGCTGCTGTGGGGCCCCGGGCGAGCCCTTCCCTCCCCCAGGCCTTGGCCCAAGTCCTCCTCACGGGGAGACCCACGGTGACTCATCAAAGCAGCAAGCCTCAGAGCACAGATACTAAGTGCACACCCGAGAGCCAGGCCGCGAGGCCACAGCGCGGAGCCCCAGCAGCACCAGGAACTGTGCACAGCCACACCCTAGGTACCCAGGGGCATGCACCCCTCACGCCTCTCTCATCGCCACCCCTGCTCTGCAGATGAGGAAACCTGAGGACAGAGAGGACAGAAACCTGCCTGGACACAGGGCCACCAAGGCCATGCCGACCCGCACCCTGGGCCACCACAACCCATGCATGGTGCAGGAACCTGGGCGGCGTAAAGGGAGGAGAGCAGTTGCAGAGGGCAGGCGCCCCATGCCCCACAGCCCTATCCTGGAGCCCTGGCTGGGGGCGGGACCCTCATGGGTCTCCTCCAGCTGTGGCTTCCTTCATCCCGTGGGCAGGCCGGCCCCAGTACCTGACTGCTCTGTATACCTGGACGCACCCTGGGCCCCCGGCTCCCCAGGGCAGAGGGGGATGCACAGGGTGTCCCCAGAGCTCCCACCCACGGAGAGATCAGAGCAGCAGGCCACGCAAGAAGCCCCGCCCCATCTGTGCCCAACCCTGAGGACGAGCCTGTAACACTGTCCCCAGCTCCTTGAGGAACCCTTGCGTGGCCCCAAACCGCAGGAGAGGACAGTGGGACATGAGGACTAAGGGAAGGGAAGCAGGAGCGTCTTGTGAGTTTCAAAGTAAGATCCAAGGGCGCTGCCGTGCCGTGGCCCAGGGCACACCCCAGCACCCTGCCCGCAGTCCACTAGGAACCCCACGTACCCCCAGGGCCCCACCAGGACTCCCAGCCACGGGACCCAACTCACGTTCACACCGAAGTCGGGGGACGTGGAGCTCCAGATGGCACCAATGCTCGCTGCGGCCAGCATGGCCTCCACCGCATGCTCGCCATTGGGCAAGTAACCTGTTGGCACGGGAGGAAGCCTGGGGTTCAGGTGGCATCCAGGCAGTGGGCTTCCAACGGTCCTGGGAGAGCCAGGCCAGGGTGGAAAGGGGCTGGCCAGCTGCTGTCTGAGTAGCAAAACCACCCGCCACCAGGCTCTCTGTCCACTGCACTATCCCCCCCATCCACCCTCCACGCTGTAGCCAGAGCCAGCCCTGCCCTTGCTGGCCTCTCCATGCCAGTCACAGCAGGCTTCCCTCAGCCCCTCAGCTGTTCTGAGCATCTCCTGCGCGGGGCCTTGGCACAGGCCGCCTGCTCCGCCTGAGCACCCTCCGCACACACGCCCTTCCCCACTCGCCTCCAGCCCTCGACTCAGATGGGACTCCCTAGAGAGATCCTCATAGAGACCAAGAACGTGGGTCCCCCGGCTCGTCAACCCAAACCCCTGCACTCCTGTCCTGCCAAGCTCATCGTGACACACGCAACTGGCTGCCCGGGTCGGGGCCTCGCAGGAGGGGAGGGCTCTGCCTGCCTCGAGCTCCACTCAACCAGGAGCCTTTGCCCACGGCACGCCCAGCACAGCAAGGCCCGGGTACCTGCTGGCAGATGGAGGGACAGAGGGAAGGATGGAGAGGCGGAGGGAGGGAGGGAGAGGGAGGAAGGAGTGAATAGATAGAGGGTTGGAGGTAGAGGGAGGGAGGGATGGAGGAACGGAGGGACAGACAGATGTGTGGATGGCTGGACAGGGGGGTGGAGGGAGGGAGGGGAAATGAGCACAGGCTCAGCCTCGTGTGGGCATCTGAGGGCCGAGCAGGGCTGTGGCTCTGTGCCCCAAGGGCTGGCTCCATGACGTAGCAGCAGAGAACATCCCCCACCAGTGACCATGATCAACACAACAGACTGATCCACATTCCTGAAGGAGGACTTGGAAACAAGGCGTCTAGAGCAGAAGGGTCCCTGTCCCCTGGGCAGCCCCTCACTCTGCCCGGTCCCCTCCTGCTTGGCCACACAGCTTACACTTCTGTCCTCTGCGCTCAGGCATCTCCCCTGTGAGGCCAAGAGCACCCACTGGCCAGGCCAGGCATGGCTTGCTTGGCCCAGACACAGGCCCCAGAGGTCCCTGAACCCACCGCAGGGAAGAATGGGGGTGGCCACTCCCCGAGGGCAGCAGGACTCCCAGCCCAGGGCAGTCTGCGAGCTCCAGTGACTCTCTAGTGACTGACAATCGAGCAGCCCGTCCTCCTCCAAGCCCTCCCGTGCAGCACAGGCCCCTCCGCAGGCCCTGGCAAGCAGAACTGGGCCGGACTCCACGGTGGCCCTCAGAGCCCCTGCCCACTCACCCCCTCTGAACCTTTTCCTGATGGCCCTTCTAGAACACAGAGGCCCCAGGCTGGTGCCTGTGCTTGGGGGAAATGGGTTTCCAAGCTGCAGTCCACAAGAAGGACGGTGGCCTAGGCTGGCCTGGCCTTGAAGAGCCCTGGGCCCTGCAGCCAGCGCCTCCTCAGGAAAGCCCCACCAGGCATTCAGCCTCCCCCAGACCCAGCTCACTGCTCTCAGGAATGTGCTTCAAATGGAGATTTGAAAAATGAAAACCGGGGCTGGGGCGGAGTCCAGAGGCAGAGCACTTGTCCAGCTCAAGGGAGACACTGGGTTCCATTTTGTGGCAAAAATATATATAAAATAAAATGAAAATGGAGGCAAAGAAAAAATGGAGCCCACAAGAACCTTCTGCGCTGTCCTGCTAAACGTTAAGTGTGACTTACGGGGGGGAGGACAGCGAGATCCTATGCACCCAGCGGCACCCTGTGGCACCAGCAGTGGCCACCCAGAGGTGTGCCAGGCCCTCTGCAGAGACACCACGGGAGCAGAAGAGAAAGCCTGTCCCACAGTGTTGCAGGCCACAGCCCACATCCCAAGAACCCGGGGGCCAGGGGCTGCAAGAACAATGGAGCCTATGCTGGGAGGGCTGGCAACGGACTTGTCAAAGGAGGGCCAGGGTCAGCCTCCAGCAAGGTCACATTTGAGCGCCTGGATGCGTGGGGTGGACCCTGTGGATACGCAGGAGAACAGGCGGCCGTCCAGAGCAAGATGGGGCGAGCGGGCGTGTCCCTGCTAGTCACCAACAGCAGCTGAGCATGAGCTCCTTGCCCAGTCACCTGAGGGGACACAGGCCCCATCCAGCCTTGTCCCTGGTTCACACGGGATGGGGCCACCTTCGTCCTCTTAGCAAACACAAGCTGAACACGCCTGTTCACAGGAAGCTCCCTCGGGAGGGGCACACCCTAGCCAAACAACCCTGCCCAGCAGGACCTCCAGCCACTGCCCTGGACCCTGGCCCTCATCCACCACCTAAGGGGGAGAGGAGGGAGGTCAGGAGCCCCAAGCCCCGGGTGCACTGGAAGACGCGTTCCGTCACCTTCATCCCTGCCTGTGTCCCCGTGCACACGCCTACTGGGCCCGGGGCAGCTCCACACCCAGGCCTTTCATTTTTTCCAGGAGTCGATGTAAAAGGAAAACTAAGAATCACTTCAATTGCTCCTAGCAGGAACTTGTGCCTTGCCACCAAGGGGACAGGAAAGGCCCAGCTCAGGGAGGGAGCAGAGCCAGGCCTCAGGCCTCGATCACCATCTGGCACTCCAGCGCCCCCCTTTCAGGTCAGCCCCCACAGGGCCTCTCCCCAGCACTGGGCAGCTCCTGCCAGCCCCGCAGTCTCTGGACTCTACGCACCCTCCCTCGTTCCCCAGGTCAAGGGAAGGGCAGTCAGAGGGGCCGCGTCGGGAAGCCCTGGGGAGGCACTGAAGGGGGACCAGCCTTTCAGGATCAGCCTGGACCTGGCCCACCCTGCACCCCACAGCTCCTGCTGCTGCCAGACGACCCTCCAGCTCCTGCCCAGCGCACACCCACACGGCTGTACCTCCTGGATTGTCCGAGGCTCAGGACAAGGCAGGAGCCCGAGGACAGGATCCCCCTGCACCAGCGGCTCCCTCTCCACACTCTGCCCACATCTACCTCTTGCCTCACGACAGTGCAGCCCCATGGGGACAGGGACCCCAACCCACTCCACCCACGTGGAGCTCCTCGGCCCTCCATGCCATCCATGCTGCCCTGGCCTCCCCAGGCCACTCCCTCCCCAAGACACTCACCGACCACCCGGTCTCCTTGCCTCACACCCATCTTCCTCATGGCCGCGGCAAACAAAGCCACCTGTTGCCTCAGCTCTTCAAAAGTCACCTTCACAATTTCCTCTTTGCCTTCCCCTGGGAGAAGAAAAAGACACGTGTACACACACCGTCCTAAAAGAAATGTCCCTTACGCCAGGAATGGTGGTGCACTGGGGAAGCTGAGGCAGGAGGACCGCAGGTTCAGGCCCAGCCTCAGCAACACAGTGAGACCTGTCACTACATAAAATACAAAAGGGCTGGGGATGTGGCTCCGTGATCAACGCCCCTGGGATCAATCACCTGCCACTCAAAAAACAAATAAATAAATAAAAATGATGTGAGCTCAGGGTAGAAAACTTGACTTTGTGCATACATAAGAAAATTAAACAACCGACCTCACTAGTTACCTAAGAATAAGCGTCAAAACAATAAGACTCTAATTTGCACCAAATAGACCAGTAGGGACGGACGGGAGGGGCCGTGGCCTCCATGCCCATACCAAGGCTGCTACCTACCCTGGTCAGCTCTGCGCAGCCCCTCCCTTATGGACCAGGCCTGGCTTGAGCAACCAACCAGGTGTTGTGGACACCAGAGTGACCTCAGAGCTTTGGTCAAAAGAGACACCCAGCAGTGGCGCATGCCTGAAATCCCAGCAGCTGGGGAGGCCAAGGCAGGAGAATCACAAGTTCAAAGCCAGCCTCAGCAAAAGCAAGGCCCTAAGCAACTCAGTAAGACCCTATCTCTAAATAAATACAAAATAGGGCTGGACCCGGGGCTCAGTGGCAGAGTGCTTGCCTAGCATGTGTGAGGCACTGGGTTTGATCTCAGCACCAAATATAAATAAACAAATTAAGTAAAGGCATTTTGTCCATCTACAACTACAAAAAAATTAAAAATAAATAAAAATAACATGATCTGGGCCCAGCATCTGGAGTCTTTGAGGATGGAGTTCCAGGTCGGTTTAAAAAAATAAATAAATAAAAAGGGCTGGGATGTGACTCAGTGGCCAAGAGTGCCCCGGTCCTAAAGGTGCAAGGGATCTCCAACACACAACCTTGACTGAGGGCTCTCCGCATTTCCCCATGCCCAGCACAGTATGACCACACAGGTGCCTGACGACCACACACAGGTGCAGAACACCCTCTCAGCCCTGCAACCCTGCAGTGGTGCTATCGTCCTTCCCACATCACACCTGCAGGAAGACTCAGTGCTTCCGCCACTCACCCAAGGTCACATGGCTAATGAGTGTGGCTGGGCCTCGACCTCTCAAATCCAGGCATCCACCCCTTCACCCTGCCTGACTGAACATGGAAACCCTGGGTAAAGACCGGGGTGGCCACAGAGGCAGGGACACTGGCACCTGTGAGGGCACTCAGCGGAGACAGGGACCAAAGCAGCCAGGGCCCATGTGGAAGCTGGGGGCCAAGTGCCCTGCACCCCAAGAGCTCTCAGCAGCAGACCTTGGCACGTCCCGAACAACAGAGGCCCGTCCTGACAACAGAAGTTTCGCCCCAGCTCCTGAGGCCCCTTCCCACGGTGTCGTGACATAGCATGTGGCCTCTTGAGAGGCAGCCTAACTCACAGGGGAGAGCTGGGCCACGAGGAACACCTGACACACGGGGGCGCCAGGTGACTGAACACACTCCAGCTAAGCCAAAAACCACCCGGCCGCACCCTCACTATGAGCGGGGAGCCTGCCCCCGTGTTCCATTTGCACCGCAGCTTCCAGAAGCTTCTTAGCACCAACTGGGACCCTCTTTCCACCTGATGGTAGAAGGAGAAGCCGAGGGAAGAGACTGCAGCTGCCTGGGTGGCTCAGGCCACTCAGTGGCGTCTCCACTGCTCCTGGCACTCCCCTCCCAGGGAAAACCAAGGTCACAGTCTTCGTCCTCTGGGGGAGGTATCAGCCTGTCCGGTGACGATCCCAGCCTTCGGTTCCTGCATGCTTCAGGCCCCTCAGAACGCTCAGTGCCACAGGCATGCACTTGTGCGCCACCCAGAACCCCTGGGCACTCACTGGCCACGTAGAGGGCCACTTTGTCGTTCTCCTTGTGCCTCAGGAGGTTCTCTGCGTAGTTGAGACGACTGCCTTTGAACCACTCGGGGACGTCCGCGATCCCTTTCGACGTGTCCACGACCTGCAGAGGACAGAAAGCCAAGATGCACACACATGCGCACGCGCACACGCCCACACATACACACACACACACACATGCGGCGCGTACTCAGCAGGAGTGCACCGTGAACAGGTGAAAGCCTCTGCCAAGGGAAGCTGACTCATTCACTGCCCAAAGCCTTATCCAGTTTTCATTTTTTTTTTTAATTTACTTTGCTACTCTAATCTACTACTTTATTTATTTTATTTATTTATTTTTGGGTGGTGCTGGGAATTGAACCCAGGACCTTCTGCATGCAAGGCAAGCACTCTGCCAACGAAGCTGTATCCCCAGCCCTAGTTATTTTATTTTACTGTATCACGGATTGAACCCTGGGGCACAACCACTGAGCCACATCCCCAGCCTTTTTATCTTTGAGACAAGTCTTTCTAAGTTGCTTACAGTCTCACTAAGGAGTTGAAAAGTTCTTTATAAAATCCAGGCCAGTTTAAGTCACTACATCAATATGTATGTGCTTACTACTGTTGAACCATACTCTATAAAATTGCTATAAGGGTAAATTTTATGTGTATTTTACAGTCAAAACAATTTGAATACAGCCAGACAAGGTGGCACACGCCCACAATCACAGCAGCTGGGGAGACTGAGGCAGGAGGATGGCAAGTTCAAGGCCAGCCTCAGCAACTCAGCAAGGCCCTAAGCAACTTAGCATGACCCTGTCTCTGAATAAAACATGAAAATGGGCTGGGGAGGTGGCTGGGGGGCAGAGCACCCTGGGTTTACTCCTTAGCAGGGCTCAAGCTCCCAAAAGGGCCAGGGATGCACCACGCAGAGCACTCACAGACAGCAGGCTCTGGGGGCAGGGGCCTAGACTAAACCTGCTCTGGGTCTGGATTTTCCCCGCCAACGTGAGGATTTCAAAGGAGAGACAACCCAGCATTCCCCCAAACGGGCACCTCACCATGAAGAGCGCGAGGCAGGATCTCCACTTACCTCGTCGTACATGCGCGAGAAGACGATGCCACTGAATTCCCAGAACTCTGCCCAGAAGTCAGAGTACGACTCCACTGACCAGTGGTACAGGTCGTCATAACTCTCTAAGAACAAAAGGAGACGGCTCAGGGCTCAGGGACGTGTGGTGGGAGGCTCATCAGGCCAGCAGGAGTGTCATGGCCATGAAAGGGGGTGGCCCAAGGAGGAGCCCCACCAACGGGAGCAAGCCCTCTGCCACCTGTCCCCAGAGGAAGCGTCACCCTGGAGCCAGATGCTCCCCACCTACACAGAGGCAGGATTAACAGCCCCCCAGGGGATTTAAATGAGCACATGTATAAAGAGCTTAGCGCAGGGCTGAGCAAGCCTGTGCCCAACAGACCTGGAACACGGCGGGCCAGAACCACTAGCTTGTTGGTGGACTTCCTGCCAGGACAGGGTCCCAGGGAGGGGCTGTTATTTATTGTGATTTTTTTAATAAGTAAGACATTCATATGATTTAGCATTACAAAAATATAACAAGCCTCCCTCTTGCATCCCACAACCATCTACTCTCCTTGTCCAGAGATCGCCAGTTACAGGGATTCTCCGTGTCTTGGCAGAGAGTGAGTGACATGCCCCTCCCCAACCCTTACACTCCTGCAAGCCCACTGGTCACACCAGGCTCCCGTGGGGACATCTCTTCGGCCTTTGGGCCCTTCCAATTTTTCTTTTTTTTTTTTTTGGGGGGGGGGGGCACTGGGGACTGAGCCCAGGGCAGTCTGCCACTGAGCCACAGCCACAGCCCTTTTTATGTTTTTTTGTTTGTTTGTTTGTTTTTGAGACAGGGTCTCATTAAGTTGCCCAGGCTGGCCTCCAACCTGGGATCTTCCTGCCCTGGCCTCCTGAGTCACTGAGATTATAGGTGTGCGCCACCTCATGCACCGCCACGTATGGCCCTTGGTGAGCTTCCAACAGGATACTACCTTCACCAGCATTTGCAAATCTAGAGAGGACTACGGGCTCCCTCACCCCTGGGTTCACCTGGGATCAATAGTAACATTTCTTCTCTCTTCTCTCAAAGAGATTATGGAAGAAAGGAGTGTGTGTGTGCAATTTTGTATCGCAAATGCAGCCTGCTTTACCCTCTGTCCCGTAACTGGCATGTCTCACTGAAGACACACCACAGACCTCTCCACTTCGGTGTGAGGGGAGCTGCCTCCTCCCTGGGTGTAAGGGCTGCCCGGTGTTCCACTTGGGGAATCAGGACTCAGTCAACCACACTCCTCCAGGATGTCTGGGTTGTCTCCAGGTTTCAAAGACCAATTGTACATGGCTGTAGCTGTCTTTTTCTTTTGGGGGGAAGTACTGGGGATTGAATCAGGGGCACTCACCCCTGTGCCATGTCCCCAGCCCTTTTCTGTATTTTATTTAGAGACAGGGTCTTGCTGAGTTGTTTAACGCCTCGCCTTTACTGAGGTTGGCTTTGTACTCATCATCCTCCTGCCTCAGCCTCCTGAGCCTCTGGGATATTAGGCATGTGCCACCATGCCCAGCAAAGCTGTAGCCTTTAACAGGACAAGAGCAACACAAGTTTGCAGAAGAAATCCAAATTACCTGAGACGGACAGTCATCGACACATAGCTGAACCCAATGCCTCAGAAATCAAGGCCAACCTGAAAGGGACAGAGGCGCACATCTGGGAGCAGGAAGGAGAACCCCAGGGGCCGCCGAGAAGCGGCGGTGAAGTTAAAAGACCACTGTCCCTCCAGGCACTGTGGCGCACCCCTGTAATCCCAGCAGCTCAGAAGGCTGAGACAGGAGGATCGCCAAGTTCAAAGTCAGCCGCAGCAACTTAGTGGGGTCCTGTCTCAAGATTTCAAAAAAATACATATATTTGGTTTTGTTTGTTTGCTTAAAGGGCTTGGGGACGTAGTTCAGTGCCATCTAGATGAAACGGGAAACAGAGCTGGATCTCATCCCTACAGGAGGCCTCACTTCTCTGTAAACTGCCCCCAGTTGGCTGAGGGCTTCACCCTCCACGTGCACAGGGTCCAGGTGACTAACCAAAACGAACCAGCAATCCTGAGGTAGAGGGGACCGCTGTGCGCTGGAGGCCCAGGGGAAGCCCCAGGCACAGCCCACTGGTGGGACACTGGGACAGCAGGAAGATGACCGACCAGAGCACACTACACCAGCTACGCTCAATCATCACGGCGGTCCACACACCAACACTACCTCTCCTCACAGGCCCCAGGCCTGAGGGGCAGAGGAAGAGGCCTCATGACACTGAACTTGGGCAGTGTCCCTTCTGACTGTGGGGTCCGGTAACTTCTCAGGCATGCTGGACTCAGGGGGACAGGGCCAGGGCTGGCCTGGCCGCAGGACACAGTCTGGACACTCGGGTCTTATGGGCTACAGCAGTGCCAAGAGCCCAGGTGGAGACAGCTGGTGTGGGCAGGGGCGGGGGGGGGGGACACCAATCGCCCTGAGGGAAGCAGGGAGCTCAGAGGCCAGACGATAGCTATCAGAGGCAGACCCCAAGGGCCTTAGGGCTCCAGGCCCAGAAAGCAGGGATCTGGTTCACAGCAAAGATGCCCAGACAGGGCCCCAACCAGGAGCATCCAGTCAGGGCCTCAGGAAGGCTGTGGCTGGCCTGATTCCAGCCACTTTGCCCGGGAACCCAGGCAGGCCACTTTGCCTCCGGGGACTCAGTTTCCCTCAAGGGTCACCTTGAAACTACTGGTAGACCCCTGGTTCCTCCCACACGGGTGCAGTGGTCACCTGGGCTCCAGGGTCAGGCTGGATGGCCAGGGTCGAATCTGGCTCTGCTGCTCCTAGAGGGTGGCCGGGGCAAGCCGCCCCACCTGGGAGCCTCAGCACAGGGCAGCTACAGAGGCTCCTCTGAAAGGTTCTTGTGAGTGTGGGGGTGCAGTTGAGCAGCAGAGCACTCCCAGCACGCTCAGGGCCCCAGGGTTGAGCCTCAGGACTGTGAATGAATGAATCAATCAATCAATCAAAGGCTCTCAGTAGAGGTGCGGTGGTGCACGCCTGAATCCCAGCTACCTAGAGGCTGAGGCAGGAGGAGCATAAGTTCAAGGCCAGCCTCTGTGACTTTGTGAAACCTTGTCTCAAAAAAAAAAAAGGTGGGGGTTAGGGATGCAGCTCAGTGGTAGAGCACCCCTGGGGTCATCCAGAGCTGCAGAACAAGCAAATAGAAAAGGTCATAGGGTTGTGGTGAGGACCTTCTGGGGACAGGCGCCTAAGTTCAACTGGGTTTGAATCCTGCCACTCTAATGGGGTAACCCTGACATATTACTTCTCTGTGCCTCAGTTGTCTCCTCCATAAGAGGAGGATAATGGTACCTATCCTAGGGTCACTGAGTCAGAACACAGGAACTGCTTGGGACTGTGCTCAGCAGAGAGAGGGTGCCCAGAGGTGTGGCCTGGCATCACCCCACCATCTGTAGGAAAGTGGCACACCCAGCCAGCCCGTGCAGACGGGAGGCACAGCCCAGGAAAGTGCTAATTAGCAGGAAGATGGCTCCTTGCTCTTTGGTCGAGAGGGAAGAAGGCCAGGTGCTTCTCAGAGAGGTGGCCCTGGCACCTGTGGGAAGCGGCACTGGCTGAACAGGACCTGCAGCTCCTCCGCCCTCGGTCTGTTTGGGGTTTGGTTTTTTTGATCCTCAAGCAGAGCGGCGTTCCAGCTGCAAAAGCTCCCCCCCTGACATGAGACAGACAGAGGGTGGAAGTCCAGGCCTCCAGAGAAGGCCCTGGGCCCATCGCAAAGGCGCATCTGCCAGCAGCGTCACCAGGGGACAAAATGTAACGGCACTGGGCATCTGGGGACCAGGTGGTCACAATGACACTTTAACCTGGAGGACCATGGGGCCCGATGCGGAGTTGCAACATGAAGCCAGGTGGCCTATGGCACCTGCTCACAAGAACTGGAACTAATTGCTAAAACACCTCAAAACCTGGTGTTTTAAATGAAATTCTGAATGTGGGCTTCTCCTGAGAAAGGGAGTGTGTGACCCTGGTGGGCAGCCACCAATGCCCACCCAGGCGCTGCCACCGCTGGAACGGTCCCCTCCCCAGTGTGAGCAGGCCGAGCTGTGTGACGGAGCAGCGTGGAAATGACAGCTTGAGAGACACTTGAGCTTCCACCCCTGGTCTGGGAGAAGCCCGCAGCCATGCCAGGAGGACACCCAAGTGGCCTCTGCCCACAGCCAGCACCAAGCTCCCGTGTGGAGGGAGCCACGCAGCTCCTCCGCGTCAGGCCTTGGGATGCCTGTGGCTCCTGAGACCCCAGGCCAGAATCACCCCACTGAGCAGCTCCTCAAGTCCCGAGCACAGGCAGGGAAGAGTGTGGTTTCAAGTCACCAAGGACTGGGTGATGTGTGGCAGTGAGGGATAAAAAGCACACTGCTTGCGCCACACGCCATCACCCTTTTAAGCAGCACTCTGCTAAATGGGTGCACAGTAGGAACTCAACCACGGGCTACCTGACGTTCATGGGAGGCCCACAGGCTCTCTCCCCGTGGCAGCCGAGCTGTGACAACAGCCACCAAGCTTCCTGTCGGCAGACTCTATCCTGGCCATGCACACAAAGAGGTGTCCTCCAGCTCACAGGACACAGGACACAGGGTGCAGCGCACCAAAAGAGCAGGGTATCCTTTGAAGCTTGTACTGTGACCCTGGTCCCTAATTAGAGAAAGTGGCACATGCAGAATGTCCCCTGGGGCCTTGCAAAAAAGGATCACATACACAAGTTGGGCTGGAGCTGCAGGCCGCATCTGAGGAAGTTTGCATCAGGGGACCCTGAGCCCCACATGGCTGTGCAGGGAGCCTCAGACAAGCTGGCTGGGAGCAGTGGTGGAAAGGAAGCAGATGACTTCACCAAGGCCCTGCACCTCCTGAAATCCAGGGACAGCAACCTCCCACCACTGGCACAATGGCACAGTAGCCAGCCTGTTCCCACAACTCAGGAGGCTGAGGCAGGGGGATCACAAGTTTGAAGCCAGCCTTGGCAACTTGGCAAGGTTCTGTATCAAATAAAATCTGGGGATGGAGCACAGTGGTAGAGTGCTCGCCCATCATAGTGAGGCCCACGGTTTGGTCCCCAGGACCAAAAAAAGAAAAAGAAAATCTCCTGCCCAAGGTGCAAGGAGAGGCAGCCAGGGTGGGGAAGGCCCCTTCCTCCCTGCACAGTCCAGGGCTGGGGCAGCTGGGGATGCAGAGCTCTGCACAGAGCCACTCAGTGGCACACTCCAGGCTGTGCCAGCTGTGAAGAGCCGCAGCAGGAGGGCTGCTGTGCAGCAGTAAGAATGCCCACAAATGCAGGAGCAGACAGGCAGGACCAAAGCCCAGACCACATGCACCTGGAGAGCAGAGGAAAGGAGAAAATATTCAAAGGAAAGATGGCCTTTGAGTTAGACCTTAAGGCAAAGCCCCAAACCTCCAGGAGCCAGCATGTGAAAAGGGAGAAGTAGGTGGGAACACATCACCTGGAGTGTGCCCCAGAGGAGGAAAGAACCAAACAGCGTGGACCCTTCCCTGTCCAGACCACAGGGAGCTCCTCACCGCTCCCACTGAAGCGCCAGGTGGGTGCAGACCAGTGCTACAGGCCCTGGGGTTTCAGGAGCTGGGAAGCTTGATTTTCATATGCAGCCTTCCAACTTTATTTTTTTAGCCTTCCAACTTTTAAACACTGGAAGCTCAACACCACATCTGCAGGTTAAATCTGGCCCAGGGGCCAACTGTCCAAGAGCCTGGACAGAGGGAAAAACTGGGAGCCACCAGTGCCGGCTGATGTCTGCCTAGCAACCCACAGGCCAGTAGCAGAGTTGCACCTGGACCTGACCATCTCCTGGCACCCTCACAGGCACCCAGTGCCACAGACCCTGAGGAAACAGCTTGGGCTAACTGATGACTTCCTCCAGGTCACATGGCTACCAAGTGCAGTCAGTTAAAAATGCAGGTAGTCAGGTTACAGGTCCCTTTCTTTGCCACTTGCTAGGAGCAAGGAGGTTTTGCCCACTCCCAGGGCTGCCCCTGTATGAAACTGTGTTGTAAAGCTACCAGGGGATCAGTATTAGATGATGCTGGCAGAAGAAACAGACGAAATGAAGGGAGACACAGAAAAATGAAGTAACTCCCCAACACAGCCTGCTGGGTCCCCCTGAGGTCAAGTCCAACCACAGCCTAGAAGCCTGAAAGTGGTAAGAAACACACTCTGTCCAAGTGGGGGGAGGGGAATGGAGCTGGGTTGGGCTGGGCAAGGAAAGGGACCCTGTGCAAGGGCCACCAAGCTAAGGGGAACCTGGGAGCTGCCAGGAGCAATGTGCACTCCCAAGGTCAACAAGGAACCATGGAGAGTTTCTGGGCCAAGGAGTGACAAAGTGAGACCTGTGCTTCAGGATCATTCTGGCAAAGCAGGCAGGGTGTGCTGAGCAGGGAGGCGGGGAGCAGGAAGCAGGAAGAGCAGCCCCGGCTCAGAGAAGAGGGGAGGAGGCTGCAAGGAGAGGGCTGGCTCCAGGCTTCAGGAAAGCCATGCTGGGGAGGGAGGCTCCAGGCTACAGGGCCAAAGACCCCACTGCATTTTTGTGAAGCTGATAACCAGGAGAGCGATGTCACCAACAGACATGAGGGAGACCCTGCAGCTGAGAAGGTGGGGGTGGGGGGAGAAGGCCAGGATGAGTTAAAAATCCCTGAGGACACCCAGGGCCACCAGGAGCAGGCAGCTGCACAAGCCAAGCCAATGAGTGCCCAGGAAGGAGCAGAAGTCCCTCACCCAGAAGAGGGACCTCTATCCATGCACATCAGACAGGGGCTTCTGAGGGCCAAAGGATGGCTGGAAGGAGGATGTGTTTGGAGGCTAGGAGTTTAAACATAAGAGGAAGGGATTCTACCCTCTTCCCAAAGGTAGGCTGCTATGGCACATCCCACTGGGTGCTAGGGAATCCATGCTGGCCTCTAGTAAAGGCGGCTTGGAAATCAGAGGGGGTTGACACCGGACCCCACCAACAGTACAGCAGGGAAGAGCCCCTACAGGCTGGGAGCCGAGACTCCAGAGGAGCACCGAACAAGTAGAAAACCCGGCAAGGGACCTCAGCCAACAGGAGGCTGTCACCGCCAGAGGAGTGACCCTCCCGGGAGAGGGCGACCCACGTGCCAGGAGATGCTGGTCAGGAGAAGCGTGGCACCGTGACAGCAGGGGTGCCGCTCCCCAGGGACAGGAGCACGCCCCGCGTCCGGAGGACGCCACCCCCAGGAAAGGTCCCTGCGTCCGGTTGCTCCTCCGATCGCAGCAGCGGGACACTGGACCTCAAGAGCGCATCCCAACCGCAAGGAGGGGCCGGGACCGCCACGCCCTTGAAAAAGGGCACGCCCTGCCCAGGAGGAGAGACCCTCCCTCCGCCCGGTTGGTCACGGGACCCCAGAGACTCTCTTCCGGAGGGCCCTGGGGTGGCCGGTGCCCGCGCCCCGCACTCACCCAGCGCCAGGCCGCAGGCGGCGCCCACTGCCGCCCGGAAGCGGTCCATCTGCGTGTCCCTCTTGCTGTCAGGCTCCCACATCACCTGGCACTCCATGATCTCCTCGCGCCCGGGGCGCGCCTGCCTGGACATGGCTGCGAGGGCTGCGCGAGCTGCGCTGGGGACGGAGTCGCACGGCGCTGCGAGCGGCAAGACTGAGCCGGCGCTGCTGCGGCCTCCCGCGGGACACCCGCGAGGCCACGCCCCCGCGGGCCCCTCCCAGGACAGGCCACGCCCACCGCTGTAACCCTCCGCCGAGCCGCGCCTCGGAAAGGAGTGCTGGGCGCAGGCGCGCTAGGCCGCCGCCCGCCCACACCTGCGGCCCGGCGGTGCAAGCAGCTCCCGGGGCACGGCGTGGTTCTCTCCCTCGCTGCTGGTGCGCTCCTGTGCGGACGCTTACTGAGAGCCTGCGGCGTGCCGTGCACCGATAGCCGGTGGGGGACAGGAGGGGGTGACAGTGCAGTGGTCGGACAGCTGCCGTAGTCCACACGGTGTATCCTGGAGTGTCCTTGCAGACATTGTGCAGCCGGGCGTGTAGTGTATAGAATCTGTCCAAAAAAAGGCACTGAGCCGGGCGCGGTGGTGCACGCCTCCAGCGACATGGGAGGTCCATGCAAGAGGATCCCAAGTGGGTGGTCAGTCTCAGCAATTTTTTGTGAGTCCCTAAGAAATTTAGCCAGAGTCTGTCTCCAAATAAACAAAAAAGGGCTGGGGATGTGGCTCAGTAGTTCGGCACCCCTAAATTCAATCCCTGATTAAGGGACAAACAACAACAACCAAAAAAAAAAAAAAAAAAAAAAAAAAACTTTTTTGAGTTCTATGGAGAGAAAGCCAGGGAGCGGTGTAATCCCTGGAAGAAGATGTGTGTCCATTTAAATAGGGGTGCCAGGAAAGGCCCCTCTGGAGGTGGACTTCTACTTGAGACTTGAAGAGGTGACACCAGTGAGCTATTACGTATCTGGGGATAAGTTTCCAGCATCAGGAACAGCCAGTGATCGGGCCTGTTCCTGTTGGGTGCCGTAGGGAACTTGGGTGCCTTTGACCTGAAAGACCTGGGGGAAAGAAAGGTCATCCAGGAAAGAGGTTGTAGCTCAAGTGGAGCCTGGGACTAGCAGAGAATTTGGCTTTGACTCTAATGAGATGAGAGCATTGAAAGTGTTTTTTGTTTATTTGCTTTTGTAGGGGGAGGTCCTTGGGGCTGCCCAGTAAAGAATAGTCTATCTTGTTTGGCTTTTTTGTTTGTTTGTTCTTTGTTGTGTGGACAGAGAGGGCGAGGAACAGGTGGACCCTGCAGCCCAGAGCCTTTCCTTCAGCATTAATCCCCTCTTGTGGAGGGGGTGGAGTCCTCCCACCTAAACACTCCCTCTGGGTCCCACCTCCCTACACTGCAGCATTGGGTACGAAATTTCCATTGCATGAACGTTGGGGACACGTTTAAATGATAAGTCTTCGATAAGTCTTCTGGAGGAAAGGTAGAGCAGTTATGATCATGTTGCAAGGGATGATGTTGGTGGCCAGACTCAGGTGACAGCTGGGAGAGAAGAAAGGGGGCTGAGGGTCTGTTTTGGACGCTGTCCCTGGGTTCCATGTTCATGTGTTAATGGCGTCAATCAGAAGCAGTCCCATGGCTTCCCACAGACAGAGCCCTTTGCTGCGTTAGAGTGGATGCAGCAATCCCCTCCCCCACCTTTTGTCTTTAACAGTTCTCCCGGCCCCACAACTACATTCAAACTTAAATCCCCACAACCACATTCAAACTTGCTGTGCACCATGACTTCCCTGATCTCCAAGTTTTAGGACCGCCTCCAGGTCCCTGTGTCTGCTATGGTTTGTTATGGACAATATGCAATGGCAAAAGATGATGGGAATCTCATTTTTCTCAAGCGTCTCAAACCGTGGTGTGTCTTTGCACCTATAGGAATAAATGGGTGTTCAGATAAAACTGGGGAAAACGAAATTCCTGTCTTGGGGAGAGAACCCTAAGAAAATCGACCTGATGGACGCGGACCCTCAGTAAGATCCACACTGTGTCCTTGCAAATGGACTCCCAGCTCGGAAGTCCACAGGCCTGGCTGTGCCCAGCCTGGGTCTGTTTCCCTGGTAGAAGCTTCATCACAGGCTCGCAGGAGCTTTTCTTCCCCGAGATGAGGAGTGGCCGTAGGTGGGCCCAGCCCAATGGACACTCACTGCAGGATGGCTTAGCCACTGGGAGTCCAGGCTCAGGGCTGCTGCCTGAGGCCGTTTGCCTGCAGTGCTCACCAAGGCCACTTCCCTTTCTCCCTGGGGGCCTCTGTTCACTTGAGGATGTTCATCACCTCATGGTTCAGTTGAGGCCACCTGGTCTTATGATATGAAGCCACCAGTAATGACAAGAGACTGTCAGATCCCCATGCCAGGACGCCTCTCTCACAGGAGCCATGATGGCAAAGTTAGAACCCTTGATTTCGAAATTAAACAGCTTATTGCCCAGGCCGCCAGCCAATGCTGCCCAAGGTGAAACCTGAATTTGGGGCTTGGAAACTCAGAAAGGCTGGCAACCTCGGACTCCACTTAGCTGGAGCTTAGAAGCGGTTCCCACACCTGAGAAATGGGAATGTTCTCCTTAATCTGTTCCGGTCCCCACCAAGCCCCCATGTCCCCTCCACATTTTCAGACTTCCCCTTTTAACCTTTTTTCATCAAAATCATTCAGCTGGGGAGCCTCATATTTTCATGTGAGCACATGGGGATTTGCTGTCTGGGAGGAGACGTGATGCTTGGAGTCTTGCAGCCTGGGAAGGGCTCCTTCTTACTCTTCAGGGCCCAGTTTTTTTTTAAATGTCTTAGAATTAGGCTGCATGGTGAGAGAAGGTAAAGAAGAAACCCTTTGCCATGGGTTTTTGCCTCCTTGAATCAGCTTCCAACCAGGAAGAATATAAATCCATCCACTCAACACTGGATTATGTCTTTATTGAGCACCTACTACGCTCCGGGTGCTATTTTAGTGCTTGGGATATAATATGCAATGGCAAAACGGGGGGTGGGGCTGATGTGACTTTCATTTTGAGAGGATCATCTGGCTGCTGCATGGTCAGAGGGTGCAGATGGATTTGGGACAGAGGGAGCACTGCAGGCAGGCCTGGGGGAGGGCCACATATTTCAAATTCCCATGTGGCATGTGTTGACTTGGACAAATGGATGGGAAGAGGCAGATGAGGAGGAGGCTCTTTACCCACTAAGTGGGACTTGCCTATCCACAAGTCTGTAAGGGTTTAACTCTGTAGGCTCACAGGTGAGTTCACCTTTAAAGAGCTGTAAATACCTAGTAGCTATATGCACAGAGAGGAGCGGGAAGTGGACCTAGCAGGACATGCTGGGGGACCAGAGAAGCCTGGAGCTCATCAGGATTTCCTCTTTTGGCCTCCAAGGAGTGTTGTGCCAGCTCTCCCCGATGCCTCAGGGGCTGTGGAAACCAGGCAGCTGCCAGTGACCCAGGGCCAGAGGCACCTGTGATGTTACAAAGCTCAGCCTCTTCCGCCTCCCTGGCCCCAACAAGAAAGCGAGACGTGGCCCCGAACCCGAGGGGAGAAGGCGCTGAGGGGCCCTGGGAAATACTGGGCAGCAGTGAAAATGCCTTCCGGGCACAAGGCCAGCTGACCCCCAGAATGGCTGGCCAAAGAAAGCCAATCTAACCCTGCGCACGGTGAGAAGCTCCAACTCAAGCCAACCCCAGAAGGCCCTTGTTGGGAGCACACAGGTAGAAAAATAAAGGAAAGCACTGAAGCTCTGTGACCTCCAAGTCACCTGGTTCTTCCAAGGGACCCGAGGCGGTAAGATTTAGGGAGGGATTTACAAAGACCCTGCTCATGCCCACTGAGCTGGGCAGGACACCGTGGGTATATACAGTTCTAGAACTGTACAGACACACTGTGCTCAGTCTTTGAATATTTTGCACATCTCACAGCTTACAAAAATAAACAAAAGCAGGTCCCGAACATCGGCTGATTTTTTTTTTTTTTTTTTGGTACTGGCATTGAACCGAGCTCTTTTTTGTATTTTATTTACAGACAGGGTCTCGCCAAAATGCTTGGGGCCTGCTAAATTGCTGAGGCTGGCTTTGATCCCAAGCCTGTGGGATTACAGGCGTGTGCCCACAGTCTCCCTTCCTTTTCTGCACAGTTCTACAGCGATGAGGGAGTCTATGTCTTGTTGGAACACCACACACACACACACACACACACACACACAAACACACTTCATAGCATGGGGCCACTGTTCCAGGTAGCGCCCATTTCTATCCATTGTTCTCCTCTAAGGCAGTTAGTCCTTGCTGTCCCTCCAGGCGCCTAGCACCAGGTGGGGCGCTCCAACGGTGCAAAAGGAGCAGGCTGGCTGACCTACGGTGGGCATCTCGGTCCACTGAAGTCTCTTATTTGTATTAGCATCTCTGCTTCCTTATTTGTTTTCATGATTGGGTTTGGATTTTTTTTACCTGGGACTGAACCCAGGGCGCTTAACCACTGAGCAACACCCCCAGCCCTTTTTATATTTTATTTAGAGACAGGGTCTCGCCAAGTTGCTGAGGCTGGCCTTGAATTTGCGATCCTCCTGTTTTGGCCTCAGAGCCGCTGGCATGACAGGCGTGGGCCACCACGCCCGGCTGGTAGTGTTCATTTTTTTTCAGATCAACTGATGGGAGGATTTGACTTGATTCTTTAGGAAGTCAAAGCGCAAGTTTGAACTTGGGAGAGGGGAGGGTCCTTAGCAGCAGGGGAAGCCCCTTCTGGGCGAAGCTGCTCGAACCATCTGCCAAGACCAGTGCTCTCTCCGCCAAGCCCTGCCCGCGCCCTCCCGCGGCCCCCGGGAGACCCAGGCTGGCGGGCGCGGCGGCGCGGAGGGATCCGGGCACTGGCACGCGCCACGCTCAGCCCGCGCTCTGATTGGCTGGCGGAGGGCTGGCCCCACATCAGCCCAGGCCGCCGGCCGCGGAAAGCCGGACTGAGCGCCAACCAATCGCACGACGTTCCGGCGCATGGGCTGCGCCTCTCGACCAATCCGGAAGGAGATCCTGGAAAGGGCGTGCCCAATGGGAGCTGGGCAGCGGGGCGGAGTCACCGATAGCCGCGAAGAGCGAACGCCGTCCCCTGGACATCACGAGCTGCTGGGCAAATC